ACCGTAAATTTGACACCTCGTACGAGCGTCTCATCCTCATCACCACAAGCGACAACCTGTGAGGGCATGCGCAATGGCACCGCAATGCATTGTGGTCCATGTAGTTTCACACTTACTGCGTTTGTGATTTGACGAAAGACGTGTAAAGCGGATACTCAAGCTAAACTTTCAGAATAAAGACAAGGTGTAAAGGTATGGTGTCGAAACCACATATAATTTTACTCACTATCTATCCAAATTAAATACCGTTATATTTTTACATACTTTAATTCTCCTTGTGCCGGTCGAAGGGCGGATTCGAGTCGGAATAATTGCTTTTATTCAGAAAGCTTTAAACGGAAGCTTTATGTTTCCTGTTTCGTTTGGTCGCCGCAGTCGAATCGCCAACATGGACGACACGAAAACATGGCCAGAAGTGGAGAAAGCAGCAACGGAGAAGCGACGTGAACTGGTTTTGCAAGGTCCTACAGCCAACACGAAAATTTCATCATACGGGGGACTTCCGCCTGCCATTTATTCCCTCACGCTGCTCAATTATCTCGAGGTGAGCCAGTGCCCGAGTTTGACGGAGCTCCACGAGGACATCCAGTCCCTGACAAACCTTCAGAGTCTCATCCTGTGCAGGAATAAACTCTCATGCATCCCGGATGTCATCAGCAACCTCAAGTCCCTCAAAGTTTTGGACCTGTCAGCGAACAACCTCGTCCTTTTACCGGATGGGATCACGCAGTTACGCGAGCTAACCACTTTGAACGTGAGCTGTAACCGTTTGGAAGCTCTTCCGGACGGACTGAGCCACTGTGTTAAGCTTTGCAGCATCAACATGTCCAAAAACTGCATCACCGGCTTCCCGAGCGATCTCTACTCGGAGCGCATGGATCTGCTCAGCACACTCGTGGCCTCGGACAATGCCGTTGTGGAGCTCGGCACGGATATTCACAAGTTAGCAGCCCTGAAGGTGAAGCACTGAAAGTCTCGCCGCGATCACAAAAAACGTTGTTTATTACTGTATATGTGCGTCCATTAGTGACAAAGAAGCGACCAGAGTTAAGGAGGCTGAGATTCGTAAGAAGCAATTATTTGATTGCCATCCGTGAACTAGTACGCTCTTCATCAGCTCTAGTATAATTACGCTTTTCTCACTACTAGTGCCACTGTTGACCGACTAGTACGCATTTCAATCTTACTAGTAAAGTATTGCACTAGTAATAGTAGTACTGCCAGGCCCAAACGGTAGGCAGGTGTCACACACCAGTGTCCTGCATTAGGTTAAGATGAAAAGGAAGTAAGTTGTGTGCACATTCCCACTTTTCTACCACTGCGTTGTTATCAGTGCATCACGCATTCTTCATCCAGGAAAAAGAAAAATCAATTTATTTAATATTATATTCATTACCTATCTAAAATTACTTTTATACATAGTTATTTTCCATCGAATGATGAGTAATTTACATGCAAATGTCTTGGTGTTATTTTTATATAAGTGAAGGTGTAGTATGAGTAAAAGTTCACCACAATAATGTTGGAATTACTGGAACATTGGCAGTACTGTAATGTTATTCTGATTATCAAAGAAAAAACAATTTTACAAAAAAAAAAAGTAGTTTTATGAGGACAAGTCAATGCTATATGAAAAAAAAGTTAATAAAAGAATAAGTCATAATTTCTTGAGCAGCTCCTATACAGCGGTGGTTGTTTTAAGTACTCATATATAAATACAGTTGAGTTGAGAAAAAAGTGATCAGAAGTAAAAAAAATAACGAATGCGAGGTAGAGGTCATGCAATGTGAGAAGAATAAAGATACAATGTAGTCACAATATTACAAGGGGAAAAATACAGTTATAGTATTGTGTGAACCCAGTTGCTCTTGATGCTTCATCATCAGTAGGTGAATGAGGTAACGGTTTGAAGCACTTTGAGTACCTGAGGTAGAAAAGCGCAATACAAGTGACAGCCCATTTAGCATTTACCATTTGGCCACTAACATTGTTGTAAAATAGCATTAGCATGACAATTCTCCAATACAGTTCTTACCAGCATGTGAAGTTGCTCCTTTATTTCAAAGAGCTAAAGTCGATCTGTGACCTTACTCGTGTCCGCCATTTCAGGTGCTAGACCTCTCAAACAACCAGCTGAGCGACATCCCGTCCAGTCTGAGCGACTGCCCCAAGCTAAAGGAGATCAACTTCAGAGGCAACAAGCTGAATGACAAGCGCCTGGAGAAGATGGTGAACGGCTGCCAGACAAAGTCCATTCTCGACTACCTCCGAGGGAAAGGAAGGCAGGGAGAGGAGAGAGGTGATGTGGATAGGGGGAGGGGCGTGAATGACAGGAAGAGGAAGCAAAAGAAGAAGAGGGAGGAAGAACAAGATGAGTTGGAAGAAATCAGCAAGATGGTGGTGAGGGTTCTCCATGTTTCCGACACGCCTGAGGCGCTCACAGTCCGAGTGAGCGCGGAGGTGAAGGATGTACGGCCTTACTTGGTGTGCTGTGTGGTCAGAGGCATGATCCTGAAACCTGGAAATTCTCTTAAAAGGTTCCTGGTGGCGCAGGTAGGTCGACTCGGTATAAGTCAGGATGTGTTTAAGCAATACAGGCATTGGCAGCAACCTAATTGTGCGCACCAATTAGTTCAGATACAATTATCTCTCTTTTCATTTTTTAAACATTTGTTATCCTTCCCTCAGACAAAACTTCATGATGACATATGTGGAAAGAGGACCATCGCGACCATCGCCACTCATGATGTACAGCTTCTCAAAGCTCCACTGGCGTATGATGCCAAACCTCCCACGCAGCTCAAAGTAGGCGAATATCGAACCCTGTCCAATTCTCACAGTGAAAAAAAAAACTCATCAAAGTCTTATCAGATCAGATTAGGAGCTAATTTTTTTTCCCTCCTCTTCAGATCGTGCCGCTGGGTCGCAGGGAGATGACAGCCGTCGAGCTGATAAGGAATCTTCAGCTGGAAGCTGACGAGCTGAGGAAGCAGAAGAAGAGGCAGAACGTCACTGGTCTTCACAAGTCAGTCTTGAAAGCGTCACACACAACATCCGTGTCACAATTCTGAGAGGGTGTGCGCATTTATGCAAACAAGTTGGTTATTTTTACTTCTATTTATTCTGAATATTTCAATTGAGTTATAAGGGTTTTATCACACTAACTTGGCATTTGAACAGAGGTGAATAGGCTTTTTAAATTCCCGTGATCCTCTTTTTGCAGCTTGTCCAATATATTTCTCCAACAGCTCAATTATGTCTGACATGTCACAACGGCCTTCATTTTTTTTTCCATTTTGAATAAAGGCAATACATGCTTACCACCTTCTTCCAGATACCTGCAGCTTCTGCAAGGAAAAGCACTGTATCCCTGTATTGTGGATGCAGAGGGCCACGTGATCTCATTCCCGCCCATCACAAACAGTGAGAAAACCAAGGTGGGTCATTCACGCGATATCGGATTTACAAAAGTGTAAAGGAGCGCAGTGAAAATTGTCCAGCATGGTTGACCTAAATAATTTCTTGCTTGTCCTCAACAGATCAAGAAGACAACCAAAGAGTTGTTCTTGGAAGTGACGAGCGCAAATAGTCTGCAGACCTGTAAAGATGTTATGGACGCTCTGATTGCAGTAAGCCTTTTTTGCTGAAATGTCAAAGTTTTAAGAATTTTATACTTTGCGGTAAATTGGAATGTAGTCCCAGTAGCTTTATTTTGCCTATGACTTCCACTGCAGATTTATAGACGAGACTTATTTAGATGCTGATTTTAGTTCAAAAATACTTATTTAAACACATTGAGGCACTATTGGGGTAAACACACTGCAGTGATCTGGCCTCAGTCTTAACTGCTGCAATATGTAGTTAAATTACAATTTTACCATTTTGAGCAAAGTGTTCTTGCTTTTAAAAGCAAAAATCTAGTACTTTTCCCGCTGACCTCAGTTCACCTGTTACTGTTTCCTTGCAGAAAATGGCAGAGTTGAATAAGTTCACGGTCGAGCATCAAGAGGAAGCAGGGTCTGACGAAGAAGGGGACGCACCACCAGGCCAGACAACCAGCACGGACGCCTGCAGTGAATTGATCATCCAGCAGGTCCGAACTGTTGACCAGGATGGGAACTTGAAGGTGGTCTACCCATCCAAGACAGACCTCTCCAAAGACATCCCCAACTTGACAGTCATTTGGTAGTAGCGTAATTCACTTTTTCACGAGGGTGGAGTTCCGAAAATGCAAACTGGACAACCCCCTCCCCATTTTTTTTTTTTTTTAAACCTGAAATCACCCTGACACTTAAACCCCATTCGAGACTCAGACATTTGCTGTAACTCATTTTAAAGTTGATGTATCCGTGAAGATACAAACAAAAGCTGTTGTAGTTACAATGCAAATTCAATCGTTTCCATCTTAAACTGAACAATAGATTGTGCACCAGAGCAAGAATGTAATGCAGCACCTGATATATTTCCAATGACACTGAATTGTATTTTTTGCGGTCATGGCAACCAAACTGTCCCCTTGCTGCCCTACGTTTGCAGCTATTGAGTAAAATTCAAGAACACACTGCATCTATATAAATAAAGATTATGTTCCAAGTAGAAATTCCAAAGGCCGCAAAATGAACTGCGATAGGTTACTATATTTCACACGATTCAAAGATCGTCACATGAACATGCCATTTAACATTGCTAACCCATACAGTTTTCAAAGTCAAGATGCTCAGTATAATGGTGAGCAACTGGAATTAAACTCCTTTCAGTGAAAATAAAGTTGAATGTAATGTTTAAGCTCTCGCAAAAGTCATGGTTCCGTTTGTTGGATTTGTCATTTGATTTAATTAACAAACATGTTGAAGTCACAAGGTGTCACTTTTTTAATTTTAGAATATTGCTGCAATCCTGTGGAAGTGAAGCACTGAATACTTAGCAGGTTAACTACAGTGAAACATGCAGAATAGGTGGTGTGTTGCTGAGGTAATGAAGCAACAAGCCTTTTAGCAAGCTTTGTGTCCCAAGTATTTTTATTGAGGAAAAAAAAAAAAACTGAACAGTGATGTCTGACCCAATCACTTAAGAGTATTGAGACAGTTGCATCATGGACTCAAACAGCCATCAATGCCACCACTTTAGAAATCTTGCCCAGGATCTGCAAAGAAAAAAGTGATTTGAGCAATTGCTTGGATGAGGAAATCTCTACACGTTGCACTTAAGTCAACCTCATGGTCCATTTTGCAAATAAATGCACTACAAATTTTCAAAAATAAAAATTTCTGCATTGTGCTGAAATTGTGTGTTGTGTGCGGAACATAAATTAGCCTCTATTTACGATACAAATTACTTACAGTGACACGTGTAAGAAACTTCCAAATACTTGTAGGTGCCTTCACAGGGTTCCCCAAACACATCTCTACTGGCCATGATCCTGCAGCTTTTTTTCCCATTGCACCTATTGGGGACAGGGACAATGGGAGCTCATTGTGAATAAAACAACTGCAAAGTAATTAATTTCTTCACACTTAGGGGAGCTAATGGTGAGCAACTGGAATTAAACTCCTTTCAGTGAAAATAAAGTTGAATGTAATGTTTAAGCTCTCGCAAAAGTCATGGTTCCGTTTGTTGGATTTGTCATTTGATTTAATTAACAAACATGTTGAAGTCACAAGGTGTCACTTTTTTAATTTTAGAATATTGCTGCAATCCTGTGGAAGTGAAGCACTGAATACTTAGCAGGTTAACTACAGTGAAACATGCAGAATAGGTGGTGTGTTGCTGAGGTAATGAAGCAACAAGCCTTTTAGCAAGCTTTGTGTCCCAAGTATTTTTATTGAGGAAAAAAAAAAAAAACTGAACAGTGATGTCTGACCCAATCACTTAAGAGTATTGAGACAGTTGCATCATGGACTCAAACAGCCATCAATGCCACCACTTTAGAAATCTTGCCCAGGATCTGCAAAGAAAAAAGTGATTTGAGCAATTGCTTGGATGAGGAAATCTCTACACGTTGCACTTAAGTCAACCTCATGGTCCATTTTGCAAATAAATGCACTACAAATTTTCAAAAATAAATTTCTGCATTGTGCTGAAATTGTGTGTTGTGTGCTGAACATAAATTAGCCTCTATTTACGATACAAATTACTTACAGTGACACGTGTAAGAAACTTCCAAATACTTGTAGGTGCCTTCACAGGGTTCCCCAAACACATCTCTACTGGCCATGATCCTGCAGCTTTTTTTCCCATTGCACCTATTGGGGACAGGGACAATGGGAGCTCATTGTGAATAAAACAACTGCAAAGTAATTAATTTCTTCACACTTAGGGGAGCTTATGAAAATAACCCCCCCCCCCCAAAAAAAAGCTATTGTAGTCCACTCCTTCACGAGTGTGTGAGAAAGTGGCAACTGCTACACAGTAAAGATATTTTAGCATCGTTTCGTTCTAGAATCAAGTGGACCATTATCCCAAGTGAAAAAATGCGCAAGGCAGGTTCCATCTTGACCAATTGGTCACAAAATTAACAATTCATTCAAGCTTTAGTGCCTCGCAAAGGGAAGCCTAAACAGCCCCTTGCCTGTGTAGAAGATGTTTGAACTGCATTCTGTCCTTTTTTTCTCCCAATGACAAAACCCAATTAATTGTGATTAAAACCAGCGGCCATTTCTTTCCAAGTTTAGTGGCATACCTCATTGCGACAATGTCAGTTGGGTGCAGACATTGGGCGTTTTGGATCTCGCTTCGAGGCTTTTGTCTGGCGCATGTCGTCTGGTCTCTGCGCCCGAAGTCAGCACCAAAGACGAAAATAACTTGTCCATGCTCTGGCAGCAAGATCATTGAAATGTGATGAGACAAAATATCCAAGAATGCTCAATAGAAATTGTTCACACGTTCAGTCTTACCACAATACAAATGCGCCTCCGATTCTTCACACACCACACAAGTAACTGTTGCGCAAATTAAAACAATTAGGTATGAAATTCACTCATGGTGGCATGCAGGTGACATTACCTGCAGGTAAGCAGGAGAAGTTGGTCTGCAAATACTTGAAGGTGTCAACACAGGGATCAGGGGTGCGGAAGTCATCGATGGCCACTTCACACATTGACTTTCCATCGCAGCTGTACACAAACTGGGTTACTCAGAAGAAAGTCAGCGCTCCTCTAAAAGTCATTAGCTGAAGCACAAACCCCATCTTACATATTCAAGTTTGACAAGCCATTACCACAAAAGGTGATTTGAGAAAATTCCGCTATTCTAGATTGTGTAGACACCAATGTGAAACATGAAAACATAATTTATAGTGCTTAGTTTTGGCCAGAGGTGAGTTGGGGTACATCTCAAATGGATTTTAGGAATGAAGCAAAGTACACCCTGGACTGGTCATCAGTAAACTGTACTTAGAAAATTCACACTTGACAATGATGGCCATGTGGGAAGAAGCCGGAATATGGAGAAAATTTACAATTCACACACACAAATGGGACTTGAGTTAAACACAAACTACCATCGATAGTGAGGCAGCCATTCAATTAATCTTGCAACTCTGGTAGAACTTTGGTCATGAGCTGAATAAAGCTCTTGAAACGTTTCAGTGCCGATTCCCACAAAATAAATAAATAAAAGCCAGTTCCACTTTCATTGATGCAAACATCACTCCCAATTCATCTCTAGTAAAATGCAGTGATGGCATCCACGCATTCAGCATGGTTACAAGTTAGTGTATCAGCAGCCATTTTCAAAGGAGATATTGTAACTATATCCACTTTCAGTAGAAGACAAACATTAACTGCGACGCTCTCCAGATAAGCCCAAGGTGTACCTTTTCTTAAGTTGCTCCGTTGTGCCGGGCCGAGAACACTTTACATTCGCCAGCTCCCGCGGCGATTTGCCCTCAGCGCAGATATGCGAGCTCGCACGACCATACAAAGCCTGCCGCACGGTGATCACGCCATGATCTGCGAAGGGAGAGCCGGCAGGCAACACAAAACTGTACTCTAGTTGCACCCATTGCCAATTATGTCAATGTGGGACAAAGCTCTCGTTTAACGCGAACTTTCTTTAAATGAAAGAGTCATTTTCAAAGACAGTGAAGGTCTGATAAACAAAATTCTTACCACACTGTAGATGATGGATGTTCATCGGATACAAATCACAAGTAGTCATTTGCTCGCCATGATTAACTGTAAAAGCTGATGTGAATGCATGAACAGATTGTTCAGAAAACGGAGGCTAGCGTATATGTTGAACATTCAAGTTTGACAGTCACCTGCTGGGAAAAGGCTCATTGCCGTAAGCACTGCCCAAAAATAAGTGAAACTGACAGAATGGCCGAATTATTTCTTTCACGCAATGTGATACTTTGTGTTGAGATTATAATGCCATTTAAGAGGCAGACGCTGCTCTTTCTTTACAATTTTATTTTGAGGTTAAGGTAGCAACCTAAATCATCCACAAGCATTAACGTAGCAACCATCAAATCTACTATTACCCAACTCTAAGTGAATACTCATAGTACTGTACTAAGTAGGACATGATTTTTTTTCCCCAAAATCCAGTCTAACACTAACAATGCTCACATAACGAGCACTTTTTTTTTTAAATTAAATCAAGGCTTCCATTCAATCTGGTAATCAACAGCCACAGCCCCTGACCATTTCAGCCGTGTTGAATGTTCTGAACAAAGTTTGTAATTAGTTTCATTTATTCTACAGCATATACACACACACACACACACACACACACACACACACACACACATATATATATCATGAAGGATGCTTCCACAGTCATATTATCACCTTCCCAAAATAATGGCCTGGGTTTTGACACCCCCCCCCACCAAAAAAAAAAAACAAAAAACAAAGGCCAATAGGCCATTATTTTAGGAGTGTGAAGGCTATCCAGCAGGGAGGTATGATCACATTTTTAAGAAACACGAACTACATAATCCATGTTTGAACATAGACTTTGACACTCACCTGATGTTTGGAGCAAACTGGTTGCTGCCAGCACTGGAAAACAAACATTTTAGTCAAACAAAGAACAGCCATGGACATTTTTTTTTTTTAGAGCAAATCAATTCATTCTGGTTTTCCCTCGAATGCAAGGTGGTTTGTCAATGACACAACACAGGTGCACATGAGTGTAAAATTATCTTGAGTGGAAAAGTTCAAATCTGCTCATACCATACAACGAAATACACTTCTCTGACTACAACAGTCAAAACACACACATTGATTCTGCCCCATCATTCCTCCTCATTTCAGAAACAAATTTATTTCAGCAGCGACTACTCACCCAGCGCGACACTGAGTCTGAAGCAGTAGGAATCCATGTTAGGCACAACCCAAGCTGAAACACTCGGACAATGACTGGAAGCGGACCACTTAAACTTATAGTGACTCCAAGTGTCATGTAGCCAATCACACCGACAGCTGAAGACAAGTTGATGTCGGAGGCGGGGCTTCTAATTAGCAGATGGGCTACAAGCCTTGCAGTCACTATAAAGACAAGTGATCCGCTTCCAATATTTGTGTCACAGACTGGGTTGTGTGAAACATGGACTCCTACTCCTTCAGACTTACTGCAGCGCTTTGTGAGTATTGATTGATGAAACAAATCTGTTTCAGGAATGATGAGGAGGGATGATGATGGGGCAGAATCAATGTTAACGTGTGTGAAATTGTTTCACATTGATGTGCCCCTGTGTCGTGTCATTGACAACCCACCTTGCACTCAGGAAAAGCTAGAATGAAATGATTTGCTCTCAAAATATGCCGATGGCCTTTCTTTGATCATAAAGATGATCTTTGTTTTCCAGTGCTGACAGCAACCGGTTTGCTCCTCACAGCAGGTGACTGTCAAAGTTTGTCCAACATTCATTGGGTAGGTCCTGTTTCTTATTAAAAATTGGTATGATCCATTTTTTTCTTTGCAGTTGCTGATTATGTGGACCGAGTGACCACCTGTGATAATAATGTGTGGCAAGTCCACCGCTTATTCTGCGGTAAGACTTGAGACAGTTGTCTTAAAACCTTCACTGATTCAAAGTTCTTTTTTTTTTTTTTTTTTTCTAAAAAATCATGTTCAGATTAACTTTGCTCCATGTTGATTGCTGTCTGTCTTGGTGTGACAGATCGTGGCGTAATCAATGTGACTGAATCTTTGTATGGTCGCTCAAACTCTCTGGTCTGCGCTGAGGGCAAATCTAATAAACGGCTGGCCAACACAACGTGCAGTCAGCAAGGCACCGTGGACAAAGTCAAGACAAGGTATGCATTGGGCCAGAGTTGTGAGAAACTTGCTTGTTTTGTTCAGATAAATGTTTTTTTTTTTGTTTTTTTTTAAATTGTCCAGATGAGTGTGCTGGTCAGATGACCAATAAGCACAAGTGTGGTGGGAAAATCATGCTTTAGTTGGATGAGTAGAGTATGATGGATGATAAGAAAAATCGATAGGGATCTGAAATCCCATTTCTCCCCAGGTTAATTTTTGTAACAAATTGAAAGGACTGACGTGGGTTTTTGGTATCGTTTTTTTGTGCGCAGTTGCAATGGCAAGAAATCATGTGAATTGGGCCTGAGTGGTTTCCGCACTCCTGATCCCTGTGTTGGCACCTTCAAATATTTGCAGACCAACTTTACCTGCCTGGAAGCAAGTATGTCACCTACATGCTCGAAAGACTGGACAGAATTCAATCACTAAGCTTTACTTTACCTCCACAGTTACTGTGGTGACTTGTGAGGGGTCCGTGGCATACCTGTATTGTGGTAAGAACTTTTTATTGTGCAGAGTCAAACCTCAGCGTAACTAATTGGTCATTTTTGTTTTGAGGTGACCATGTAAATGCTGGTATTATTGTAGTATATAATTATTATAAATGGAAAATGTAGCCAAACTTGCCCCATTTCGTGAATGGCATGCTCTCATGAGCCATTATGTGACGTGGATAATGTTTCACAAAAGCGCTTGTGCCATTAAACTGCGCTCTATTATGGCTGTGCTTGTCATCGTTAATGGCACAAATATGGCGACCATGTTACTTACCCCTGCCAATATGGCTGTCACATTGGCACGCTTAGCCTGTTCCACTTTAGTTTTCTGTTCTGGAACTAAAACACTTTGAAAACTAGAGTGTCAAAGGAGATTTTGAGATGGCTGGACACTGTCAATTAAATCCACTGATGTATATATCAAATCAAGATTAAAGTGGCTGAAGAACAAAATCAATGTCAACTCTCCATTTCCACCAACATTCTTTCCCCTCAACGGCAGGTATGGGAAGCGTTATTACCATCTATGGTGCAGACTACGGACGCCGCGACCAGACCACATGCTCATACAGAAGGGCCCCTCGTGAGCTAAAAAATGTCACATGCCTGCAGCCAACTCCCCTTGTTGCCCAAATGTACAGTAGCACAATTTTTTTTCTCTTCCCTATCCCTGAAATTAAGCCCCTTTTCTTCACTCATAGGTGCAACGGGAAATTCAGCTGTTCAGTCACAGCCAGCAATGCAGTGTTCACAGACCCATGTAAAGGCATCTACAAGTACTTGGAGATTTCCTACGCCTGTAAACGTAAGTAGGTGGTAGCCAATTTGGCACCTGAACGTTATCTCTATGGTACAAAATTCATGATTGTATTTTAGCTGCATTCAAGAGGGGTCAATGTTGTAATGTGAATATTAAAAGCCGGACTTCATGCTGGATGTGTTGAGGCTTTTTAAACTCACAGTATTCAAAGTGTTTTTTTTTTTTTTTTTTTTTTAAACCAATTGTATGGCTGTATCAAACCTCAAAGCATTTATAGGACTCTAGCTTGCACTGACTTTTCTTTCTCTTCCCAGATCCTGAGGCTAGTCACCAGGAAGTCCTCTGAACGGTACTGCCATTTGGTGTGGATTCCATTCGAGTTTGTTGTTGCAATGTGCTGCACGTTGAACTCTTTGTACTTGTATTCAAGTGAAAATAAAATTGTTTCAAAATGATGCCTCATGGTTTGGTGGAGACAATTTGCTGTATTAGACTGTGGGAACTTTAATGCATACACCAATAGACAAATATTTAACTTATCAAGTTGGCTCATGTTTGGTGCATGTAGCCATGGCAGGGTCGGCAACCCAAAATGTTGAAAGAGTTGGCACAAAAAAAACAGTGGTACCTCTACTGATGAACATCTCTTCATACGAAAGTTTCAAGTTGCAAAACGTTTCAACAGGAAAATATTGCCTCTTGTTCCAAAAGAAATTTCAAGATGGGAAAGGTAAAATTAGTCTGGCTTGCTATTCGCAGCTCCGAGTTTCCTGAACGCAACATGCTTATAGCTGCTCAGCTATTGGCCTTTACTGAGCATCATCCTGGCATCCTATTGGCTAAGGGGTATTTTTACTGTGTCTTGTCTATGCAGCGTCCTCATTCACCCTTCGGGCCATGAGGTGTTCCGGTAGTTTTACTTAAATGTGAATCACCTAGAAAAAGTGTTCACCAGTCAGGTGATGGCTCACTATGCTGATGTTTGACTTGGACATTTTCGAAGGATTTTAAAAGCTGACAAAAGCAAACATCAGATCAGTTCTTAATAAAATGCCAGGCAAAAACCACTTCTGAGAATATGGTCTAAAGAGGGCAAAAAACAAGGATGCAGTTAAGTTAAATGACCTTTTTTTTTTTATTCTTAGTTTTTTTGACATTATGGACAACTGTAATGTGCAATAATTTAATTGTAACATTTGTTACGTATTTTGATGCATTTTTATGCTTTAAGAAACGTTTAATTTGTGGGGTGGGCTTGGAACGAATTAGGGCATTTTCATGGAAAACTCGTCTATAATTTTCTAGTTCAAAAATTTCTTCCAGAACCAATTAATTTCGTAAGTAGAGGTACCAATCCAAAGCCGCAAAAAATTAAAAGCCTTATAATGAAGGCAACACATGCTGGATGTATATTAGCCTACTATCAAAATAACTAAGTTGGCTACAAATACACAATGAGCCTTCATGATTAAATATTTTTTTTCCCTGTCGGCAGGTGTGCCCACCCTTTTATGACTGACGATCTACTTTTCGATCAACCAACCTCCCGAGATCGAACCGTTCCCGTACACGCGCGCATACGCACACACTTACACACGCATGCCAGTATATGAGCGACAGCAATCACAATCACTGCCCCTTAAGTGAACGAGGCATGGGACGCACTTTTGCACCGTGTTAACTATCTTACCTCAAGGTGCACCGTTTAAAAATGCTTCTTTCGTCCCTCCAGATTCCCATTCTTTGCCAGGACCCTAGGTTAATTGTACATGAAACGCCGGGTTTTTTTTTGTTTTTGTTTTTTTACAACAGCCACCTGCCGGGTATCCCGTATTGCTAATCGAAACGTGTGTCGCAGGCTGATGACGCAAATGTTGAAAGTAACATTTATTCTCCACATTTTTACAGCATTGGAAAACTTTAAGAATATTTGTGTCATGTTTGTCCTCCTACAGAAACTATATTAAAACAAAATATAGATTTCCCTCCCCCATCTTTTTCCATTTTCAACATTTTTGAAAAAGCTCCAGGGAGCCACTAGGACGGCGCTAAAGAGACTCAAGTTGCCGACCCCCGAACGATAGTGTAATCGGCCATGATACAGCAGGGACACGAGGAAGGGAGGCTCTTGACGGGCCAAGGGATGCCCCATTGTCAATGTTTTTGTTTTTCATGTGTTTGTGTGTGAAACCCTCTTTGAGACCATTCAAAGTGGTACAACTGCGATCCTTGTGAGGAAAAATGTATGCGAAAACAGATGAATGGATAACATAATAAAGATCAAAAATCACCTTACTGGATGAAAGGGTGTACATGGACATTTACTCACAATTTTTCATGTAAATGAACCGTGTGTTCATGCATTTCATACATATTTATTCTATACATCCACCAATGTCAAGAAAACAAGCAATAACGTCAAGGTTGTCGCGTGTATCAGAAAAGCATATCAGGCAAAATGAAGGGTACCATGATCTTTGGTGTTTAAAACCGATCTCGAAAATTCTTGTCATTCTCGTATTGTAGACCAGTGTCACGTCGCCAATCACACAGACCGCTGAAGACCTCCTACAAGTCGGTGTCAGAGGCGGGGCTTCTAATTAGCAGATGGGCTGCAAGCCTTGCAGTCACTATAAAAACAAGTGATCGGCTTCCAATCATTGTCCAATTGTTACCGACTGGGCTGTGTGAAACATGGATTCCTACCGCTTCAGACTTAGTGCTGTGCTGTGTGAGTATTCAATTCACTGATGAAAAAAAAATCTGTTTCGAATCTATAGACTGTTTCAGGGATGATGGCATGATAGGGCAGAATCTATATTGTGTGTTTTTGACTGTTGTGCTCAGAGGTGAATTTAATTGTATGGTATGAGCAGGATTTAACTTTCCTCTCGAAATAGTTTCACACTGATGTGCCCCTCTGTTGTGTCATTGACAAACCACCTTGCATTAGAGGGAAAACCAGAATGAATTGATTTGCTCTAAAAAATGTCCACGGCTGTTCTTTGACTAAAATGTTTGTTTTCCAGTGCTGGCAGCAACCGGTTTGCTCCTTACAGCAGGTGACTGTTAAAGTTTATGTGCAATATGCATTGTGTAGTTCAGTTTAAAAAATAAAATAAAATCATACCAATTTTTAATCTTTGCAGTTGCTGATCATGTGGACCGAGTGACCACCTGTGATAATAATGTGTGGCAAGTCCATCGCTTGTACTGCGGTATGACTTGAGCCAGTCTGATGAAAATCTTTGCTCACTTCAACTTCTCGGACTTCCTAAAGAGTCATAAAGTTCAGGTTAACTTTGCTCCATGTTGATTGCTGTTTGTCTTGGTGTGACAGATCGTGGCGTAATCAATGTGACGAACTCTTTGTATGGTCGCTCAAACTCTCTGGTCTGTGCTGAGGGCAAATCTAATAAACGGCTGGCCAACACAACATGCAATCAGCAAGGCACCATGGACAAAGTCAAGACGAGGTATGCATCGGGCCCAGAGTTCTGAGAAGCTTGTTTTGTTCAGATAAATGTATCTTTTTTTTTTTAAATTGTCCACAGCTAAGTGTGCTGTTCGTACGACCAATGAGCACAAGTGTGGTGGGAAAATAATGCTTAGTTGAATGAGTAGAGTATGATAGATAATAAAAATCGAGAGGGATCTGAAATCCCATTTTCTCCCCAGGCTAATTTTTGTAACGAATTGAAAGGGTTGTGCTTTTTTTTTTTTTTTGGTTTTGTTTTCTACGCAGGTGCAATGGCAAGAAATCATGTGAATTGGGCTTGCATGCTTTCCGCACTCCTGATCCCTGTGTTGGCACCTTCAAATATTTGCAGACCAACTTTACCTGCCTGGAAGCAAGTATGTCACCTACATGCTAGAAAGACTGTACAGCGTTCCATAACTAATCTTGACTTTACGTCCTTAGTTACTTTGGTGACTTGTGAGGGGTCCGTGGCATACTTGTATTGTGGTAAGAACTTTTTATATTGTGGAGAGTGAAACTTCAGCGTAACTAATACAGTAGGTCTTTTTTGTTGTCGTTTTGGGGTTAATGGCACAAATATGGCTACCATATTACTTACCCCTGCCAATATGGCTGTCACATTGGCACGTTTAGCCTGTTCCACTTTATAGTTTTTCTGTTCTGGAACAAAAAGACTTTGAGAACCACAGTACCAAAGGGGCTTTTGAGCTGGCTGGACACTTTGTGTCCATTAAATCCAGAGTGCATTGATTCTGGATATGTCAAATCAAGATTAAAGTAGTTATGCAATAAAAGCCCTTAAAATTAATGTAAACTCCATTTCCACCACCAACATTCGTTCCCTTCATTTCAACGGCAGGTATGGGAAGCGTTATTACCATCTATGGTGCAGACTACGGACGCCGCGACCAGACCACATGCTCATACAGAAGGGCCCCTCGTGAGCTCAAAAATGTCACATGCCTGCAGCCAACTGCCCTTGTTGCCCAAATGTACAGTAGCACCATTTATTTTTTCTCCTCTCCCCTGTTCCTGAAATTAAGACCTTTTTCCTCATTTATAGGTGCAATGGGAAATTCAGCTGTTCAGTCACAGCCAGCAATGCAGTGTTCAAAGACCCATGTAAAGGCACCTACAAGTACTTGGAGATTTCCTACGCCTGTAAATGTAAGTAGGTGGAAGCCAATCTGGCACCTGAAGGTTATCGCTATCGTACAAAATTCATGATTGTATTTTTCGCTGCATTCAAGAGTGGTCAATGTTGTAATGTGAATATTTAAATAGGCTGCCATTAAAGGCCAGCTTTCAAGCTGGCCTTTAATGGACTTCAGCTTGCACTGACTTTTTTCTCTCCACAGCTCCTGAGGCTCATCACCAGGATCTCCTCTAAATTACTATTTGGTGTGGATTCCATTCGAGCATCTGTCTTTGCAATGTGCTGTTGAACTCTTTGTATTAAATTAAAAATAAAATTGTTTCAAAACGATGCCTCAAGGTTTGGAGACTATTTGCTGTTTTAGCCTGTGTGAACTTGAAGGCACATACCAATAAACAAATATTTCACTTTTAATTTAAAATGGTTGTCAAGTTGGGCTTACAACTTTGCATGTGCAGCTATGGTGTCATGGAAAGTATTTTCAACAATGGTACGCCCTTGAAATACTTTGTACATTTTTCCATTAATCTCAACTTAAATCTGAGGTTTCAGGGTCTCTGTTGGATTTGTAATACAATGGCACCTGAATTTGCTTTAACTCAATATAAGTTGAACATTTGTGACTGAAATAAAGGAATGCAATAAATTTATTCCAGACCCCAAAATGCAGCACAAAAACTGAACTGAAGAAATACTCAACTCATCTTGAGCACTTTAAAATGGCCACCGCTGTATACAAAATGCTGGACATGGAGCAAAGGTATATACAACAAACAAAATTAAGAAAGCACAAAAACAAACTAAAATAAAGTCCTGAGTCACATTGAGTCAAAAGCCAAAGAATATGAATGAGTTCTGAGACAAGTTTTAAAGATGGGCAGCGAGGGGGCTTGCCGAATGTTCAGTGGGAGGCCATTCCAAAGAGAGGGACCAGCAACGGAAAAGGCTTTATCCCGTCCGAGTCGTCGCTTAGTTCTTGGTACCTCTGTCTGGTCCACAGACGTGAGGCACCGGGCAGGTGTGTTGGGGTTGAGAAGTTCACATAGGTGAGGTGCAGCCAGGCCATTTAAAGATTTGAAAACAGAAGGATCTTTATAAAGAATTCTAAAATGTATCGGGAGACAGTGAAGGGATGCCAGAGCAAGAGTTACGTGCTCCCTCTTACCAGTACCAGTCAAGAGGCGAGCAGCAGCATTCTGGACCAACTGGAGACGTTTATTGTAGGATTGGTTGACTCCAAAGTGCATTACAGTAACCAGCTGGGATGTGACGAAGGCATGACTTACTGTTTCAAAGTGATCTTAAGGACAGGCTTTAGCTCGCTGCCTCAGGTGAAAGAAGCTGGATTGAACAACAGCACCAATTTGCCGATCCAGTTTCAGACCCAAGTTTGAGGGCCCAAGGCTACAGGATAGGATGTACAAGGGCTACTGGGACCAAATGCTACCACTGTCTTTCCCTTGAAATTCAGTGCCATTCAGGTCTTTATTTTCTCCAGACAGGATAAAAATTCACATTGAGAAAGTATTTTTTGGTTAGTGGGACATAGATCTAACAGTACATACAAGTGCTTATTGCAGTTTAACTGAAATTGGGGTCAGGTCCATTAGAAAGTCTTCCATTTCAATTTTAGCCCAATAAAACAGGTCAAACATCCTTATGCATTTTTCTTAAACCTTGTATAATATCCTCAATGGAAACATACCTGCACACTTAATGATGCACATGCGTTAGTCCGTCACTTTTCTGTGAAAAGTCAACCACTGAAGTTCAAGTCGAGACACCTCCAGGCTTGACACTGCACCCGCCTATTCTCGTCGGTCAATAGGCGGGGTACACCCTGAACTGGTTGCTAGCCAATCACAGGGCACACATAGCTGGTCATGAATCAAATGTGAGCCCAACTTGATCAGTATTTTACTAAAAAGTATTTGTCGATTGGTGTAGTGTATGCCTTCTAGTTCACACAGGTTAATGCAGAAAATTGTCTCCACCAAACCTTGAGGCATCATTTTGAAACAATGTTTTATTTTCACATTAATACAAGTACAAAGAGTTCAACGTGCAGCATGTTGCAATGGCAGCCACTCAAATGGAATCCACACCAAATTGTAGTACAGCCTGGTGACTCACCTTAGGAGCTGTAAAGAGAAAAGTCAGTGCAAGCTGAAGTTCAATAAATGCTGCGATACATAATTAGCTTTAAAAAAGGAATAGTGTCAGCTTAAAAGCCTCTACACATCGTTTGAAGGCTGGCCTTTAATGGGAAGCCATTTTAATAGTCAAAACATTGACCCCTCTTGAATGCAGCTAAAATACTACAGAGATGACCTCAAGGTGCCAAATAGGCAACCACCTACTTACATTTACAGGCGTAGGAAACCTCCAAGTACTTGTAGGTGCCTATACATGGGTCTGTGAACACTGCATTGCTGGCTGCGACAGAACAGCTAAATTTCCCGTTGCACCTATGAATAAGGAAAGGGGGTTTAGTTTCAGAAATGGGAGGGGGGGGAAAAAAAAAAAAGAAAGTTTGTGCTACTGTACATTTGTGCAACAAGGTCAGTTGGCTGCAGACACGTGATGTTTTTTAGCCCATGAGGAGCCCTTCTGTATGAGCATGTGGTCCTGTCGCGGCGTCCATAGTCTGCCCCATAGATAGCAATAACGCGTCCCATACCTGCCGTTGAGATGAGGGGAAAGAATGTTGGTTGAAATGGAGAGTTGATTGTACAATAAAATCAATCACTTAAATCTTGATTGAGATACTCTGAATCATTGAGCTCTGGAGTTAATGGACAGAGAGTGTCCAGCCAGCTCAAAAGCCCCTTTGGTACTGTCGTTTCCCAAGTCTTTGTTCCAGAATTTAAAAATAAAAAAAATTTTTAAAAAAACTGAGTGGAACAGGCTAAACTGCACCAATCAAAGGTAATGCATAGTAGCCATATCTATGGATGTTTAATGGTGCAAGCCATTTTGCTGTGTGGCCACACATCTGTTGAACATGCCATTTTTGTCAAGCATTATCAGTATCCGACAGGTTTGGCCTAATTTTCATTAATTCTCTACAGTATTGGCATTTACTAGTTCCTCTAGAAAAAAAAAAAAACCCAATTAGCCAGCTGTTACACAATACAAAATGCTGCTACAAAAATATATTTTTTAAAAAAGTTCTTACCACAATACAAGTGTGCCACGGACCCCTCACAAGTCACCACAGTAACTGTGGAGGTAAAGTCAATCTTAGTTATGGAATTCTGTACAGTCTTTCTAGCATGTAGGTGACATACTTGCTTCCAGGCAGGTAAAGTTGGTCTGCAAATATTTGAAGGTGCCAACACAGGGATCAGGAGTGCGGAAACCACTCAGGCCCAATTCACATGATTTCTTGCCATTGCAACTGCGTGGAAAAAACAAACACATCAGCCCTTTCAAGTTGTTCCAAAAATTAGCCTGGGGAGAAATGTATTTTCAGATCTTTTATACATTTTCATAATCTAAATCCTCTACTCCAATGAAAACGCCATTTTCACAGCATGCGTGTGCTCATTGGTCACATGACCTGCACACATCTGTGGACCATTTAAAAAAAAAACGACATTTCTGAACGAAGCAAGCAGGTTTCTCACAACTCTGGCCCGATGCATACCTTGTCTTGACTTTGTCCACGGTGCCTTGCTGACTGCACGTTGTGTTGGCCAGCCGTTTATTAGATTTGCCCTCAGCGCAGACCAGCGAATTTGAGCGACCATACAAAGAGTCCAGTCACATTGATTACGCCACGATCTGTCACACCAAGACAGACAGCAATCAACATGGAGCAAAGTTAATCTGAACATGACTTTTTCGGAAGTCAAAGAACTAAGTCACAGTTTTAATCAGACTGGCTCAAGTCTTACCGCAGTATAAACGGTGGACTTGCCACACATTATTATCACAAGTGGTCACTTGGTCCACATAATCAGCAACTGCAAACATTAAAAATTGGGAAGAGTTTTTTTTTTTTTTAAGAACAGGAACTACCCAATGCACATTGGACAAAAACTTTGACACTCACCTGCTGTGTTGAGCAAACAGGTTGTTGCCAGCACTGGAAAACAAAGATTTTCTTTATTATCAAAGAATGGCCATGGACATTTTTTGAGAGCAAATTATTTCATTCTGGTTTTCCCTTTTGTGCAAGGTGGTTTGTCAATGACAAAACACAGGTGCATGTCAGGGTAAAACTATTTTGAGGGAAAGGTTAAATCCTGCCCATTCCATACAACAAAATTTACCTTTCTGTCAACAACAATCAAAAACACACTTTAATATTGATTCTGCCCCATCATCCATTCTCATTCCTGAAACACAGTCTGTAGATTTGAAAATGATTTTTTTCATCAGAGACTACTCACACAGCGCAGCACGAAGTCTGAAGCAGTATGAATCCATGTTTCACACAACCCAGTCAGTAACAATTGGACAAAGATTAGAAGCGGATCACTTGTCTATATAGTGACTTCAAGGCTTGCAGCCCATCTGATAATTAGAAGCCCCGCCTCCGACACCGACTTGTAGGAGGTCTTCAGCGGTCTGTGTAATTGGCAATGTGACACTGGTCTACACTACAAGAATGACAATACAATACATATTTATTATATACATCCAATGACATCAAGAAAACAAGTAACAACATCAAACTTGTCACGTGTATCAGAAAAACGGGAGCATATCAGTCAAAATGAAGGGTACCATTGTCTTCGGTGTGAAAAACTGATCTCGAAAATTTTTGTCATTCTCGTCATGTTGACCAGTGAACGTAACCAATTACACAGTCGGTGTCGGAGGCGGGGCTTCTAATTCGAAGATGGGCTGCAAGCCTTGCAGTCACTATAAAGACAAGTGATCCCTTCCAATTGTTACTGACTGGGCTGTGTGAAACATGGATTCCCACTCCTTCGGACTTAGTGCCATGCTGTGTGAGTAGTCACTAATGAAACAAATTTGTTTCAGGGATGATAGGGCAGTATATTAACGTGTGTTTTTGACTGTTCTACTCAGAGAGGTAAATGCAATTGCATGGTTTGAGCAGGATTTAAATGCTCCCTCGAAATAGTTCCACACTGATGTACCCCTATGTTGTGATTGACAAACCACCGTCCACTTGAGGGAAAACCAGAATGAAATGATTTGCTCTCAAAAAATGCCCAAGGACGTTCTTTGTATAAGATTGTTTGTTTGTTTTCCAGTGCTGGCAGCAACTTATTTGCTCCACACAGCAGGTGAGTGTCAATGTTAAAGTTAAACATGCATTGGGTAGTTCCTGTTTCTTAAAAATGAATCATACCAATTTTTAATCTTTGCAGTTGCTGATTCTGTTGACCGAGTGACCACCTGTGATGATAATGTGTTGCAAGTCCATCGCTTACACTGCGGTAAGACTTGAGCCAGTCTTATTAAAACCTTCACTGACTTCCGAAAGAGAATCATTTCAAGATTCATGTTCAGATTAACTTTGCTCTATGTTGATTGCTGTCTGTCTTGGCGTGACAGATCATGGCGTAATCGATGTGGTGGACTCTTTGTATGGTCGATCAAACTCGCTGGTCTGCGCTGAGGGCAAATCTGATCAAGAGCTGGCCAACACAAAATGCAGTCGGCAAGGCACCCTGGACAAAGTCAAGATGAGGTATGCATTGGACCAGAGTTGTGAGAAATTTGTTTCGTTCAGATGTCAATTTTTTTTTTTTTGCGTAAACGGTATATTGTCCACAGATGAGGGTGCTGCTCATGTGACCAATGAGCAGAAACAAGGTGGGAAAATGGTGCATTCATTGGAGGATTTTTAGATAATGAAAATGTATTTGATACTCTGAAATCCTGTTTCTCCCAGGATCATTTTTGTAAGAACTTGAAAGGGCTGCTTTCTTTTTTCAGTTGCAATGGCAAGAAATCATGTGAATTGGGCTTGCGTGCTTTCCGCACTCCTGATCCCTGCGTTGGCACCTCCAAATATTTGCAGACCAACTTTACCTGCCAGGAAGCAAGTATGTCTCCTACATGCTGTAAAGAATGTACAGAACTCCAGAACTAATATTGTATTTACTCCGACAGTGACTGTGGTGACTTGTGAGGGCTCCGTGGCACACTTGTATTGCGGTAAGAACTTTTAAATTGGTTTGGAAGCAGCATTTTATATTGTACAGAGTAAAACCTCAGCATAACGGAGTTCTCTCGTTTTTTTTAAATGCTGGTACGATACAGAATTGTCAATGCAAATATCGCGTAACTTGTCCCATTTTGTTAATGGAATGCAGTTGGTGCTCTCATGAGCATGATCTGACGTAGATAATGTTTGACAAAAAATGGAACGTTTAACAGATGTGTACAAAATGGCTTGCGCCGTTAAACCTTGGCTTCGCTTGTCATCATTAATGGCACGAACATGACTGCCATGTTACTTGACCCTGCCAATATGGCTGCCACATTGGCACGTTTAGAGTGTTCCACTCTAGTTTTTCTATTCTGGACCTAAAAGATTTTGAAAACTACAGTACCAAAGGGGCTTTTGAGCTGGCTGGACACTTTGTCCATTAAATCCAGAGCCCACTATGTCAAATCAAGATTAAAGTGGCTATGCAATGAAATCAATGTCAACTCTCCATTTCCATCACAAACAATCTTTCCCCTCATCCTAACGGCAGGTTTGGGACACATTATTATCATCTATGGTGCAGGCTACGGACGCCGCGACCAGACCACATGCTCATACAGAAGGGCCCCTCATGAGCTAAAAAACGTCAAATGCATGCGGCCAACTACCCTGGTTGCCCAAATGTACAGTAGCACTTTTTTTTTTTTTTTTTTCCCCTCTCACCATCCCTGGAATTAAGCCCCTTTTCCCTCATTCACAGGTGCAACGGGAGATTCAGCTGTTCAGTCACAGCCAGCAATGCAGTGTTCAAAGACCCATGTAAAGGCACCTACAAGTACTTGGAGATTTCCTACGCCTGTAAACGCAAGTAGGTGGTTGCCTATTTGGCATCTCAAGGTCATCTCTTTAGTATAAAATTCATGATTGTATTTTAGCTGCATTCAAGAGTAGTCAATGTTGTAATTTGAATATTAAAATGGCTACCCTTTAAAGGCTGGCCTTGAAACTGTATGTGGGCTTTTTCAGCTGACAGTATTGAAAAGATTTATATTTTTTAAGCTAATTGTATCAAAGCATTTAATGGACTTGAGCTTGCAATGACTTTTCTTTCTCTTCCAGAGGCTAAGCAGGATGTCCTCTCAACGGTACTGACATTTGGAGTGGATTCCGTTCAAGCGTCTGTCATTGCAACATGTTGAACTCTTGTGTTGGAGTGAAAATAAAACGGTTTCAAAACGATGCCTCAAGGTTTGGTGGAGACAATTTGCTATCTTAGCCTGTGCAAACTATGTTTCAGGCAGGCAGCATTTTTATTAAGTATTTCTCAATTTGAAAAGCCTTTGTCATTGAGCTTGAAAATATCTGTCCAGCTAATGAAGTTAGAAGTTCTAAGTTGGTTTCATAATACCTCATGCGAACCAGTCGTCCAGTGCTGTGACCATTCTACTCTCAAATGCTCATAACTTGGATGTATATACACGGTGTATTTTAACTCTGCAAAACTTTGTGTGGAGCAAAAGAGGTGTGAAGAGTAGCATTGCATAAGAGGCGTTCTGCCAACTCTTTCCGCGTGATTGCCTTGATCGGAAATGTGTTGCAATCAAGTGTGCCCTGCTTACAAAAATCTTTATTCGGGGATCATTCAAAGATTTTTTTTTTCATGCCATGAATCATGTTTTATCTGGCACAGACCTAATCTGCATTTACTATTTGAGCGTATTGCAAATACAGAAAGAAATGGACTTAACACACTGACAGTGTTGGTACTGCCTGTTTGTTTACAAAGTTGAACTACTGGTCTTTGCGGTCTCAGGATCTGCAAAAACAGAACAAAATAGTTAATGTAGGCAAGCTATGTTCAAAAATGTGTGTTTTCTGTTTCTCTGACTTGAATAGTTAATGTAGGCAAGCTATGTTCAAAAATGTGTTTTCTGTTTCTCTGACTTGAAAAATAAAATTAAGACCCTTTAAGAATTATTTTACAGAGTTGCCCTCAAAATTCTTTAGCCCTCACCATTTTTAAAGTACATTTGAAAAATTTCAAAACCTTCCATGCGTTTCCACTTTCAACTACAACTAGAAAAATGTCTACACATTTCAATAAATGATTTGCTATGAGGTGAATTGTATTGAATGCATTTGTCAAAGCAAATATCAATACAGCACAGTTACGCTCCTACAGCAAAATAAAAAAGGTCAGAGGTGCTAAATAGAGTTGTGATTACTTACAGACACATGTGTAAGCAACCTCCAAGTACTTGTATGTGCCCCCACAGGGATCTCCAAACACATTGTTCCTGGCTGCAACCGTACAGCTGTTTTCCCCATTGCACCTGTGGATGCAAAAGAAACGGCCTCATTACTGTGTTGAAAGTTGTACTACAATATCGTTGAAGTCATTGAATCCTGTCAAAACTGTCATTTTTCAGGAGGTCAGGGCTTTGATAGACTAGTTCAGTCTAATTCTGGCCGTCGTGTGGCTTTTCACGTGACTGCCAACTGCCACATGTGGGAAACATTGTACTTCCTTTTACTGTATGTCACCCGGGGTGACATACAGTAAAAGGTGGTGAGGGTCCACCCTCAACTGGTTGCCAGTCAATCACAGGGAACATAGCACAGAGAAACATCCGCACCGACGGACAAGTGATCTTTAATTAACCTAAAGTGGAAATAAACTGGGGTGCCCAGAAAAACAATGAGGTTAATAAGCAAATGCCACACAGGAAGGCCCGAGCAGAAATTCTTGACCATAAGCCAGACATAATCAAAACATGTGTGCCATCGTACCTGCTAGCGACAAGCTCAGTTGGGCGCAGGCAGTCGACATTTTGGATCTGACTCTCAGGCCTTTTGTATGTGCACGTGGTCCGGTCGCGGCGTCCATAGTCAGCACCGTAGACGGAAATAACTTGTCCTACATCTGGCATCAAGATGAGAGAAAGAAGGTTGATGATGGAAATGCGGGTTCTCAAAATACAAAAAAAAAAAAAAAATTCAACATCAACAACAGTAAACACTCTATAAAAATTCATCTATAGTGCGTCATCATGTCCTGGAATTCATCTTGGAAAAAAAAAGCTTTCTCTCACCGCAAAACAAATGTGCCAAAGACTCCTCACATGCCACCACGGTAACTGTTTAAACGAAAAACATGAGATATAAAATGACATGCATTTTTGACGTCACACAATTTCACAGTGGCGACCTACTTGCAGGCAAGCAGGTGAAATTGGTCTGCAAATATTTAAAGGTGCCATCACAGGGATCAGGATTGCGGAAAGCATCTGTGTTCACGACACATGTTTTTTTGCCATTGCACCTGTAAACATAGCAATGAAAGCATGAGTCAGCAGAAAAAAAACCCTGCAAAGGAAGTCCTAATAGAGTTTCCCTTTCGCAATAACATTTAATACAATATATGTGATTATATTTTTTTAATAAGTATCACAAAAGCAAGTAATATAGCACCACATACACACCCGCCATTATTTTTGGCACGACTGGTGAAGATGTGTTCTTGAATTCTTTTACATCAAATCATGGGTGCCACAATTATGAGCACCCCTAATGTTAATACTTTGTACAACCCCCTTTTACCACCAAAAAAAGCACCTAATCTTCTGCTATCATGTTTCACAAGATGCAAAGAGAATATAGAAAGAGGGATTTTCGACCATCTCTCCGAATCATCCGGTGACCTCGGTCCTCTCCTCTGCACGCTCCTTTTTAGCCCCCTCTACAGGCTTTCAATGGGATTGAGGTGTGCGGACCGAGATGGCCATGGGAGGAGCTTGACTCTATGTCTGACCAATCATGTCTTCAATTTTTAATATGAGAGGTTGTTTCTGCAATAGAATTTATTTTAACTTAAGTATTTTAACCCATCGTAACCAGGGGTGCCAAGAATTATGGAGGGCACTGTATTCTGTACCTCCTGGGCAAGCGTAAAAGGATTCTTCAGTGTTATACAATCACAAATCAACTCCACTTTATTGAAAGAGTACTCCAAAATAAATAACCACACACACACACACACACACACACACACACACACACACACACACACACACACACATATATATATATATATATATATATATATATATATATACATACAGTATATGAAAGAAAAATCATACCAAAGAAGTGAACAAAATTAGCAATATCTTTTTTTTTTCGCATGGCATGGCATGGCACTGCAGGCGACACCAGGAAGGTAAAACACAATTATTAAAGCACACATTGTTGTTTTCTTATTGGTATTTGAACAAAAACTTCAACCAGATGAGTGAACAAGTAAAGAAAAGGAACAACAACCAATAATAAATGCCAATGTGTTTTTTAAAAATTGTGTCGGCTTTTTTTTTTTTTTTGTCGTGAGTCGAAAGCAAAAAATTGAGTTCCGAACACGTGCCAGCCAACTTCACAATAAGCAGCAAAGGGGTGAAGAATGATTGCTTCAAGATTTTTTTTTTTTTTTTTTTTTGCATTCCCAAACTATTGAAAAATGATTTTAGCAATTATGCTATGTGGATGAAGATATGATTTGTGTGTGCTGAACAAAGATGTTTGTGTCACACAGTAACTCACCGGTTAAACAAGCATGTTCATTTTACTAATGACACTTGAAACTTAAGTACGATGGATACCTTGAGCTGAGCTCGTCCGTGGTGCCTTGCCTTTCGCACTGCGTATTCGCCAGCTGCTGTGGGGGTCTGCCATCACTGCACACCAGCGAGCTTGAACGACCGTATAAAGCCTGCTGCACATTGATGACTCCATAATCTGTCACATGACAAGAGAGACGGCAATCATCTTGGAACTATGCGGAACTATACAGTTCTGCACTCAAAATGATCAACCCCCATTGGAAATGACGTCCAGCGTGGTATTACGCTCTGACAATTTACCGCAGTTTAGGCGATGGACAACAAATCTGTCCGAGTCACAGGTGGTCATTTGCTCTGCGGAAACAACTGTGGAATCCAAAATGAATGTATGAAAAAGTTTGTTCAGGAGAGAAGAACATATATTGTAGATGTTGGACATGAACTTAGAGAGTCACCTTCTGCGATGAGAAAACACATCGCTGCCAGCACTGGGAAAACAAAGATCAGTACTTTAGATACAGTAGATATCAAGATGCTGAATAGAAAGCAAAACCACTCTGTCTCTGGTGTGGGTCCCAACACATATCCTTAGCAGAGATTTTATCAGGTTGTTGCACTTTAATTTCTCTCTAAAACCACTTTTTCTGTGAGCCTTTTTAAAGTTACAAAATTAGTTTTGAATATGGCTACCTGCTAGCTAGCTGGCCAGCTAACTATCTAGTAGGTATCCTTAGCTAGCATCTAGCTACTTAGCTAGAATCTAGCTACTTAGCGAGCTATCTAGCTAGCTAGCTAGACAGATACTGTTGATAAAGACAGACAGAACGATATCTTTTTTTATTACCCTCAATAGAGCAAGCAATCAACAAATCCACTATTATTTCAACTCAAACAATTTTGAGAGCAACTCCCAAAGTTTTTTTTTTCCTTCTTGAAGGCACCAAGTGACTTGGAACAGATTTATTTCAAAAGTCAATACTCACACAGTGCTGAGCTGAGTTTGAAGCAGGATGGCATGTTTCACCCGATCTGGTCTGAAGCGCTAACAATGATCACTTGTAAATTAGAATGACTGCGAGGCTTGCACCCAAACTGCTGTGGCAAAAGGGCTGCAGAGCTATACTGTTTTATTAACTAGATTGCTTCATGTCCTCAAACTCCACCACAATTAAGGGGAAGAACCCGAAATGCACCGTATGCAGGAAAAGAATGTTGAACAACACGTTACATTGTGATATTATGGGACGAGTCTCTGAACACATTTCGTAACTCTGGAAGGGCACAGTCTTACTCAAGGGAATATTGCGGAAAGATCTTGTTTCAGCAAGTGGCATGCGTTTTTACTGGAACGGCAGATGGTATCAGACCAAGTCTTATTCATTGCATGGGCTGCTTTGTCGTCAATCTGTTTATTTCGACTGTGAAAGTTGGTAATCATCTTCAATAATCTGCAAGGAACAATCACATTGTGCATTGTGTGTTTTCATTACATGGGCACAGGGATATGTGCCGTGTACCACTTGCTGTTTTAATTCTGTGTTTTACTTCTATCGTGAGAGATAACTTGATGTTTTCATTTCTCTTTATTTTCTTTGAAACCTTTATTCTGAAAGAAATCTCAAACAAATATGCATTACCTTTCCTGAATGTTGTATTACTATATATAAATGTAAATAAATCAAAAGACACACCCCAGAAGTTATTGACATGTGCGGTTCAGATGGCAGCTGTTGTGATAAACTGATGCTTCAAACACCGAACCAAACAGACAGCATACAAAATCCTAACAAGGAGACAAAGTAATCTCTCTCGGATGCAAATGTTTGTAAAAGTTTGTATTGTTTGTAAAACGGAGAAGGCCACTCCAAAACCTTACATTATTATTTTTTTTAATCTATTTAGAAGTTAACTTGCTGGTGTTTTGTGAACCATTGCCTGGAGCAGGACCCAAGTGCGCTTCCGTTTGAGGTTGCAAATATTCTCCGTCAGCATTCTCTGCTAAAGGGCATAATTCATGGTTCCATAAATCACAGGAAATGATCCAGGCCCTTAATAAGCAAAGCAGTCATGACTTAGTCCATCACACAACCACCATGTTTGATTGTTAGCATGAAGTTGGTTTTCTGAAATGCTGTGTGACATTCGTGCCAGTTGTAATGAGAGACACACCTTACAAAACGTTCAGCTTTTGTCTTGTCAGTACACTGAATTTTTTTTTCAAAAGGTGAGCCTCTATGTTGCTTTTTTTGTTCAACAGTACTTTTGAATAATTACCTTAAAAGAGGCAAAGGAGACCTGCGGTTCATTGTTTTCCTTTCCAGCACTGTGCTCTTGGGCTAAATTCTGCAAATCATCCAGTCTTGCGAAAGGTTCACCACTGTTCCGTGATTTTACCATTCGTGGAGAATGGCTCTCATTGTCATTTGCTTGAGTCTTAAAGCTTTAGGAATGGCTTTGTAGCCTTTTTCAGACTAATAGTTGTCACTTACAAAATTTCTCCTCCGTTCTTGAATTTGCTTTGGATCGTTTCATTTTTTTGAAACTTCTGGGGGATATTTTAGCGCACTTCATTTTGTCAGGCAAGTTCTATTTGGGTGATTTATTGATTGATTAGGTCTGGAGGTAAGCATGCTTGAGTGCGTTTAGCAAAAAATGAACTCACCTTTCGAAAAAATGTGATTAGCCACTGTTAATTCATAATTTAACACCAACTTCATTTTCATCAATGATGATAACAAGTAACCAGTATCACACGTTTTTCCCCATTGCTGTGATCTTGCTGAAACATTCGTTGTGACAGTCACTGGTGATGAAGGAACTCGTTGCACTGCCAAAACCGAGCTGTGTTGCAAAAGAGGAAAGATGGTGCAGAATACTGTAGTAGTCAGTAACAACAAAACATTGTCTTCTTCCGGAGTTCCAGTACAAGAAGTCAGATTAGATGAGAAACTTTTAGTCGAGGAACACTCACTGGCCACAAAATTAGGTCCACAGTCGATTGCTTTTACAAAGACCCACACTGTCAGAGACGTTCGGCAGTTTCGTAGTGCGGTTCCACCATCGCAAATTAACAACTACGATCATGACCATTGTCTAATTAATTATTCTCCGATCGTGTCCATATCTTTCATCTTTTTTGATGAAAAACGGTTCATTTTCCTCTCGCACGCTTCCAGCGTAATACCGCCGCTTTATTTTACTTTCAATGCGCCAACATGTTTGTTTTCCTGACTCATTTCTGCATATGCGTTGAGATGGGATAGTTCATTGCATGAGACGGCAAGGGCATCACTCGAAACAAGCATGCTAGATTAAGCAATTTTGATGTTTTTAACACGTCAGTCGAAGAAAATTATAATTTTACTACCCTTGTGGATTTCTCAAATCAATCTCGAAACAGGTTTGATGATTAGTTTCCTGACTGAAGCTAAGTCAAAAGGAAATTACGTCAGAAAGTTGTTCCACGTTATTATTTTATCATTTCACTGGTTTTGTCAATAATGGGGAATAAAGAACAACCAGTGTGACATGAGCTTGAAGGGTTGATGAAGAAGAGAACGCATTGATTTAGTTGAATTTATTTTTGTGTTTGCAATTAATGGGAGAAATGGAATAATTTTAACCACCAGTCATCTACCATTTCAGAGCTTTTAAAAAAAAAAAAAAAAAAAAAATCTAAACAGATAGGACATCAACAAAAACATTCCAGATCTGTTTGGTTGTAAACCATTAAAATGTGTTTGCAGAAAAAGCACTTGTTTTTGTGGGAATGGCGAAACTGTAATGCAGATGTCACTTCAAAAGAACGGATGTTAAGACTACACCAAACCACATTTTTGGATTGAAAATTTCTCACAGTCTAAAAAAGCATTAGAAAAACCTAAAAAGAAATAAAAAATTATACAAAACTTTACAAATTCAATAAAGTTAATGTACATTTAGAGAAAGACCCAAGGAATTACTGCCATCTACTGTTGAAATACAGTATACCATACACAAAATGCATGTACAAATTACAATCATTCCAAATGTTTTTTTTTTTTTTTTTACATCCGGCCATTTTCTAAGTCGATTATCCTTACAAGGGCCATGGGCATGCTGGAGCCTATCCCAGCTGCCTTCGGGCAGTTGCCAGGATACACCCTGAGCTAGATGCCAGCCAATCGCACGGCACACATAGAAAAAAAACAATCATTCACACCAAATCACACCAAGGGACAATTTAGAGTGTTCAATTAACCTCCCATGCATGGTTTTGGAATGTGGGAGGAAACCGGAGTACCCGGAGAAAACCCACATAGGTGTGGCCGGAGCCGGATACGGACCCATGACCTCTTCACTTTGGGGCAGACGTGCTGACCAGTAGAGCACCGTGCCGTCCTTTTTTAAATTCCAAAATGTTAAATGAAAATACACTGCGTTATCACAAGAAATTGCTTTTTTTGTTTTTAGTATGTACAGTAACAATTACATTTGTTCAGATGAATTTTGTCCCAGCGTTGAGGTTTGAAAGTACAGATGTTTCCGAAGGAAGTTAAAGGAACCTGGCATTTGCTTATATATGCCTTTTGCAGAGTTCTGGGAGACTTCATTGTTAACCTGGAAACAAACAAAAAGATATATGCGTGTAAGAAATAATATAACAATGATTTTATTTCTTTCAACAGAACGATGGCTACTTCTATATTGAGAAGACAAGCTCACCATCATTAACATTGTGACCAAATCCTCAGTGGCAGCATTTTCCTCAAGAATGCGGTCCAGCGTTTCAATGTACCAGGAACCCGACTGTGGGTCCCTCCAAGACACGTAACCTGTGTGGTGTCACAAAAAAATTTGGATGGTGTGCATTTTGAGTTATGTGTGAACATTTTTAGCTTGCTTATTCACAAACGCCGCAATATAGATCAATGTATAACCTCTATGGTAGAGGAAATATCAATGCACTCGAGGTGCACTACCGCCACCAGGTGGACCAGAACGGCAGCACACATATTCCGCTCACTCTGAACTCGGCAATGAAGTGTACCTGGAAAAGTTGAGTAGGACACGAGAATGTCACTCGGGGTGGGCAGTGTGGCGCCGGCGTCAGGTTCATCAGACGTGCTCAGCGAGTCGCTGCTGGAGGACGCGGGGATGGCGTCTGTCTGGTCATCGGCTCCGCCACTCGACGGTTCCGCCTCGTCGGACGGCACCTCGAAGCCTCTGTCTCTTTCACCTCAATGCCAGACGTAAATCTTTGATATTGCTACCAATGCTGTCCAAGGAGCCAACATTCATCATCAGTTACCTCCTCCGCAGGCCTGGATGAAGAAAAGCTTTGGTTTCCCCTGCAGGGAGGGACAGTGCTTCCCGTTGAGGTAGTTTGTGATGTGCTGCACAGGAACATACCGGCCGTCGACCCCATAAACAGCACCGGGGAAGCGGTTGTGACTCACCTGCAATAGAGTCATATTAAAGTGAGCTTTATAGCACTCTTTGGGTGTGACTAAATGCAAAAGGGCACCATCCAAGTGGTACACCGACTGTATTTTACTGTCAGAGTGAAAACTAATACAGTCGTCATAACATAACCAAAGTGATCTTATCTTAGAATACAAAAGCATCTTACCTCCGTCCCATGAGACAGAATGATGACCACGCAGCAGTCGTAGGGCGAATGGTCCTTCTTCGATAAATCCGACAACTCGTGTTTGATCCGCTGTAACGTGGAGAGAACTGTAGGCATCCCACCCGCGAGTTTAGCATCGTGCAAGAGCAAAAAAGGGATCCTTACTCGGTGTTTGAGGTTTGTCCTCACTTCGACGAGAAAGCGGAGAGCTTTGAATCGCCTCTCCAGCCTGTCGCAGTCGATGTTGGACCCCGTGCGGTTACTTAGCTCGCTCTGTGGCTCAAAATCCACATTGTTGATTATGAGGCAGTGTCCGCACGGGCTGGCGTCCATTTTGTAGCTCTGGCGTAGATGTGGTGGGGGAAAAAAAGTTAATATTCGGTGCTAGCTGGCGTGGAAATTGATCAATTACAGCTCCCTTACTCCACACAAGTGCATAACAACCAAATGGTCCTGACCTGAAGGCTGTCCCGCCGTGTCCTGCCTTGCATGCGCGTTCTGACTCGCATCTGAGCTTGTAGGTTCTCCGAATCAGGTGCTGTGGCAGAAGCATGCGCTCATGTTCGTGAATAAGCCAATCATCCAAACTTCTGGGCCAACACACATACAGTAACTTACGTGCGGGAGTCTGTATTGGATGTACAGGGGGAGCCTTTACTTGCGTCTGGAAATCCACTGTAGAGGCTGCACAATAAAACACATTTTTTTAATGCATCCCAAGGGTTCGAGGTTCAGAATGCCTCAATTGGAACTCATTCCATGCATTTGATGGATTGGCACAGAGAGCAGATTTCCCCTGCATCTGACTCGTGAACAAGTACAGTATTAGATATAATGTCGAGTGTGCCAAAAAATGTACACAATTTGAAACACAATGGCGATAGGCTTCATGTCAAAATTCCAACTTATTAAACAAATATAGATTTTATTTACGGTGACACGACAAAGTCGAGGTGAATACGATTGTACTCAGACCATAAACATAAAGTCATTAAATGCACCTGAGAGTAATTGGTACTTACAAACTGGAAGAGTCCGGACAACAGGGTGAATGAGGCGGTTGGACATTGACCCCTGAACCGCAGGTGCTCCACTTTGGAGGAGCTCTGCCAAAGTGTGCTGCTCTGAAGCCTGAAGACATTCCAGAAATAGAGGAAAGGCCCGACTCCCACGGGTCGGCAGGTCCCGCGCCAGTTGCCTGGCTTGGTCCCGTCTTGTTCCTGAGCTCTGTTAAGATACATGGACTACCTTGAGAATATAAAACATTGATCCCTAATTTTTTGTTCTTACGTTCATCCATTTTCTTCAGTGATTGTTATTTTTAAAGGTGATCTGTAGCCTATCCCAGCTGACATTAGGCTAGAGGTGGAGCACACCCTGGACTAGTTGCCAGTAAATCACGGGGCACATACTATTGTATGAGCCACTGAGAAGTTTAGGGGACAAACTTCATCTATGACCTTTGACAGGAGAGTCATTTTAAGTTTTATGGCTGCAATAAAATCTAAGCGAGTTATATTTTGGTGATTTACAAGGCCATCATTACTTCTGGGGCAGCACGGTGGTCTACTGGTTAGCACATCGGCCTCACAGTGCCAATTTGCAGGGTTCGATTTCGGCCTTCCTGTGTGGAGTTCGCATGTTCTCCACGTGCCCGCAGGTACTTCGGTTTCCTCCCACAATCCAAAAACATGCATGGCATGTTGATTGGGCACTCCAAATTGCCTCTAGGTGTGATTGTGAGCGCGAATGGTTGTCTGTCTGTGCGTGCGCTGCAATTGGCTGGCAACCAGTTCAGGGTGTACCCAGCCTACTGCCCGAAGACAGCTGGGACAGGTTCCCTCACGTCCGCGACTCTCATGAAGATAAGCAGATCAGAAAATGGATGGATGGATGGATGGATGGATGGATGGGATGATTACTTCTGGTCAATTTTAGTTTTAAAAGGCATTTTGGTTTTCATTTCCAAACATCCATGAAAATCGTTCACTAGTTCACAAAAGGTGATAAACAACATTCCTAAGGCAATACTGTCCTAACTTTCTGTGTCTTTCATCAACCTTTATTGGGATGTTTTCGCAATAGGTTAATCCTGCTTTCACAATTCAGGCCAGGGGTGTGGCCATCTTAGAAAGTTTTCTATTCATTTTTGCACTTAAGTGGAGCTAGCCCACTCAAGTTCACAGCGGCTGACACAGACAATTACACTCACACCTTTGAGCCATCATTTGACTCAACATGCATGTTTTGGAATGTTAGTGGAAACGAGCATACAGGACCAGATGATTCAAACACGAGAAAATTGGAGCCGAGATTCGAATCCAGAACCTCAGAACCGTGATGTTGATGTGCTCACCACCTGTCCACCCAGTTCGTCGCAACCCCTACCATCCAAAATGAAGAATCATTGTTTATCATCAATATTTGGCAACTGCAATGCCCAGTGCGATCCTACCTTTATTTTCTCGATCATGTCTTGAGTAAAAACCCCTTTCTGAAGCAGGCGGTCATAGAGACATGATGGGTCCAAACTCGTGACAATATTTATCCTGTAGCGCTGAAGAATCTTCTTGTGATGGTCCTCCATTCTCCATTAAGTCACAAAAATCCTATCGTAAAAGCTGTGCTAAAAAAACAATAAACAAAAACAACGAATAAAGAGGAGATTTGACAGGGTGTCGTACCGATGAGGAGTCCCACTTCCTGGTCTCCGGGTTGTTTTGTGAATGACGTCACAATTAAGGTGGCACGATCTTTCTTCTTCTACTACGTATTATCCGGTGGTTGGTGCGTTTTCTGCCTTCACTTGGTGTATCTGTATCGGTGTTCTTGTTTTAATTTAAAAAAAATCTGTCTTCTCGCAGAATTTGTTTAGCTCGTCAATCTCAGCAGGTTTGCACATCATATCGGATTTCGTGTCCACATCAAAAACACTGGATGCAATGGCTTACTCCTTGACCAACGGGTGCCTCTGTAGTGCATTTGACGCTTCGAAACACATACTACGTTTCAGCACATCTCATTTTAATATGACGTTTCGCTAAAATATTTTAAAATAACATCATATTGGAAAGTACAGGTCTTTTTCGTATATACTGTTTCTTATTACAAGCATTACTTCCTTGTTTACATCATTCTTGTTTGTGATTGGCCAACTCGAAACATTGGGAAAAAAAGGTGCGCTTGATTACTTTTACACTTACCGAACTGACGAAAGTCACCGCTCAGCAAGCAACACATTGCGGTTACAGTATATTAAATATCGGGGAGCGACGACTAGAAAACCGATCGCACATACACAAACGCAGTTTCGATGAAATACTCAACCTCCCAACAGCACTTTCGATTTGTCGCCAGTTCGTAGTTGTAATCATACCCTGAGGGAGTAGTCGCTGCTGCCAAACACACCTTGTGATTGTCGTCGTCCAGCATCCACCAAGACCCTGACGAACATCAACACCTGCCATAAAAATGCGGTGTAGTGCCGGTTGACTGCAGCTGCTCGAGGTGCCTGAATTTGTATTTTCAGCGAAACGGACAGTTTTTGTAGCAACGTCGTTTAAACACTCAGTATCAAAATATCTCCTTATATATTTTACAGTCGACACTAATCTATCATCTGGTGACAGATGGCAGCGTACACGGACGGTGATACCTTTGTTGCTGTGTTGCATGCTGCCATTCTGATGATGGCCAGCCAATGTATCTAATTGTGTGTTTTCGTTGGTTCATGTCCCGTTATGTTGCAATGTAATTTAAAAATTAATCTTTAAATCCGAGCACTTGCGTCAAACGACTGTTTGACCTCATGCCATTATTTTTCCTCAACTTCTGTTGAAAACTACTCAGATATCAGAAAATTAACATTTACAACTGTCAGAACCAGCCCTTGTGAGTGTATCTTGTGCGATCCTACGATGTGGTTTGCAATCAAAACAAGTTTCGCACGACCGGTCAAGACTGTGTCCCGACGTTTAAATTTGAACATCCTGAGATGCAATATGTGATGGCGACAGATGCTCTTATGTTGTTAAAATAACAGCGATGGCAGAATTAAGGATGTCTCTGCCATTGGCTGTCATGGTGGCGGTCTCTGTGCTGGAGCTCGGAGTGACCCACGCTGGACCGGAGCTAGACCCATACAAAACCTTGGGCGTCACTCGAAGTGCAAGCCAGGTTGAGATTAAGAAAGTTTACAAGCGTCTTGCTAGAGAATGGTGAGTGTCCGACACACAAAACTGACATAAACTTGCTAGCATCTATGTAATAAATATGTTCTCTTCAAGGCATCCTGACAAAAACAAAAATCCGGGAGCTGAGGATATGTTTATCAGGATTACCAAATCGTACGAGGTTAGTCATGTGAAATTGAAGGGGGGGGGGGAGATCAATCTACAATATGCCATTGCAATATTATTCATCATTCATGTCGCTGCTGTGTCGTTCTTTCAAACGGTCATTTTTATGTGTTTTTATAGTATATTGACTGTAATGCATCTTTATGTGGAAAATGGGAGCCACAGTTGCCGATGCACACTTGCACAGAAGTAGCTGTCAACCGCAGCTTGCTTCCAAACCCTTACAAGCAAACTCATTGACATCACATGCCATCCCACAGGCCCCGCCTCCTAAAGGCACATGCATGTACACAGACACTGTACAATATTTTCGATACATTTTATCTCGGCACCTTATTTGTGTTGAACTATATGTACAATTTGTTTGGAAAGTGGGTTTAATTAGTTTAAATGTGTTTAAAGCAAGGGTTGGGGGATGTAAATGTGTAAACAAAATGATTTTTATGTCATCTCTCCCTATTTTCGTGTATTTTCATCTATTGGGGCAGGGGTGTCAAACTCATTTTTGTTACAGGCCACATTTATCGTTTCCCTTGGAGGGCCGTTATGACTGAAACCAAATTTAAAAAAGGCAATAATCACGGTTTATTCAACTATTGTTTAAGTTTCTGCAATGAAGGGTTTGGTTCCCAGAAAATGCTTACGATATGTCTCTTATTTATTACATACGAGAATTTTAAATTTTGGTCGAGATTTTAGCAAGCATCATGGAAATTGACATGTTTGATTTGCTTTCGCGGGCCACATAAAATGATGTGGCGGGCCACATCTGGCCCCCGGGCCTTGAGTTTGACACCTGTGTATTGGGCTTAGGTCTGAAACTGATCATGGGAAGGAAATGTGATCACACTTTCATGGGGATTTTTTTTGTTAGAAACACATTACACTTGTTTTTGAGAGGCATCATCCCATACCTGACACATTTTCCAGTTGTGACAGAAACAAATGAAAATACTCACGTTTTACCCACAATCTAGATTCTATCCAGTGAGGACAAACGCGCCAACTACGACCGCTACGGCCAGACGGATGACACCCAGCCGTATGGCAGCGGTCGCTATAGCGGCCACCGCCACGACAGCTTCAACTTCGATGAGTCCTTCTTCAACTTCCCATTCAACAGCAAGAACCAGGGGGAGTTTTCCGACAGCAAGCACTCGCTGCGTTTTAACCAGTATGTCAACGATGTGGTGCCCGACAGCTTCAGGAAACCGTACCTGATCAAGATCACCTCCGACTGGTGCTTCAATTGCATCCACATCGAGCCTGTGTGGAAGGAGGTGGTGCAGGAAATGGAGACGCTAGGTTCGGAATGGACATACTGTTATTTAGCAGCCAGCTGGGAGATTTTGAAGTAAATGGTGAAAGCCAAAAGGGTGTACGTTTCATCCGCGCAGGTGTCGGAATCGGCGTGGTGGATGTTGGATATGAGAGACGGTTAGCCAATCACCTCGGCGCTCATCGCACGCCGTCGATACTCGGAGTCATTAATGGCAAAGTGACGTTCTTCCATTACGCCGTAGCAAAGGAGCATTTGAGGCAGTTTGTGGAAGACCTTCTTCCCCAAAAACTCGTGGATTGGGTAAGAATCTCACTTTTTGACCGTACTGTACTCGTAGATAACAATGTGGATGCGAATGGCCGCGCACATGTCAAAGCATCATTTTTTTTTTTGTTTCAGGTCAGCGACAAGAACGACAAGCAGTTCTTGAGCAGTTGGCATGAAGTCAACAAGCCACACGTGCTCCTGTTTGACCAAGTGCCTGTCGTTCCCTTACTCTATAAAGTGAGCCTGGGACCGACGTCACAATCGCTTTCGCAGCTCAGGTGTCTTCATTGGTTTTCATCTCTGGCTTTTCATAGCTGACGGCGTTTGCGTACAAGGACTACATGCAGTTTGGCTACGTGGACCAGGGCCTTTCAGAGACGGCCCATCTGCAGAGACAGTTCAATATCAACAGCTACGCTCCGACCGTGCTGGTTTTCAAAGAGAACACGGATAACCCCGCTGACATCTTACAGGTGCGTCTCTGGCATCCGAAAGAAACAAGCGGAGTCTTTTTTTTTTTGTGTGTGTGATCATGTGAGTCATAAAATATAGCCGCCGTTGTTCCCGGCAGACAAAAGGAATGAAAAAGCAGCTCATCGACGAGTTCATGTCAAACAACAAATTTCTCCTGGCACCGAGGCTGGTGAACCAGAAGCTCTTTGACGAGCTCTGCCCTGTCAAGCAGTTCCACAGGCGAAGGAAGTAAGCCGGCGTCCGTCCGTCTGCGCCCTCAGAGCACATCGACGGTATGCTTCAGCGCTGCTGTTTCTCCTCCCGTCAGATACTGCGTGCTGCTGATCACAGGCAGCGACGAGAGCTTTTCTTCGGGCAACCGGGCCTTTCTGTCTTTCGCCTCGAGCAACACCAAGGAAGTTGTGAGATTTGCTTACGTCTACCAACAACTGCAGCAACCGCTCTGTAACATCCTGATGACCAGCAAGGACGGCACAAAGACACCGCCGCCACCGCAGGTGCATCCGTCCATCCGCCCGCCCGTCCAGAACCACCACCAAATGACCCACCCGTCAATTTTTGCCTATAAATCAAAACAGAAAAGCACACCTGATAAGCCGCCCCCTGAATTCATCATCTAGTCCGCTTCATGACACACCCACTCATTCATTCATCCACCCGGATAGGCTACCCACCTTCCCATTTTTTTATGTGTGTGTGTGTGTGTGTGTGTCTTCAGGTAGTGATCCTGGAGAGGCGCAACGCTGCCGGGAAGGCCTTTTTCAAGCCAGTGACTCCCTGGAACGGCAGTGAAGAAGACAAGCGGCGCCTCGTGGAGGAGTTGGAGCGTCTCCAGAAGGACCCGTCCATTCTGGTCCACGATGCCATGCTTCCCGAGCTCAACAACGAGTTTGCATCCGTACGCTCGTTTGGCCGGCAAATGGTTTGGCTGCCCGCATCAGCCTGGAAATTTGAAATTTGTCTGAAGCATTTTTTTTCTGGGGGGGGTGATTAACCGCGCACCGACTAATGTTGTCTCTCTGTAGATGTTTGTTATCCAATGGCTCTATGCAATTTATGATTACCTCTCCGAAGTCATCGATGACATTCTACACAACAACTGGTGGGTAGAAGTTTTTACAAACATTTACAAGGGGTAGTAGCGCACGCTTTGGCATACCGTGGCACCGTTTTGCATGTACTGGCGGTGACTGCACGTCGCATTTCTGCGGTCCTGGCGGCGGAACTCCGCCGCCTTTTTACGGGACAGCAAAAAGAGTGTTTACAGCTCCTCAGGTGAATAAAATTCAATAAATAGAAAGAAAATGACACTTTTGGTGGTTTGCAGGCGTGAGATGATGCCTTTGCTGTCCCTCATCTTTTCTGCCTTATTCATCCTGTTTGGAACTGTGGTCGTCCAAGCCTTCAGGTGAGCTTGTTTACGCTTCAATATCTACTTTACCTTTGCGCCTCAGACTCCCATCTTGGATCATATACAGTGAAACTCCTCTGCAATGAAACCTACATGGGCAAAAATACCTCCTAGTGTGAAAAAAATCTTCATGCATTAACACCATTCCCACTTTTGCGTGTATGAAAACGCCTATGTGTGTGTGTGTGTGTGTGTGTGTGTGTTTACATCTGAGATCAAAGTGAAAAACCCCCTGTTGTGAAAATTTTCTTGCTGCAAACATGATTTCGTTGTAGAGGAGTTTCACTGTGTGTGAATATATATACAGTATATATATATATTTAAATTAATTTTTTTTTCCAGTGACTCAAGTGACGAAAACTCCCCCAAAACAAAAGTAAAAGATGGAACGAAAACAGAAAATGGATCGCCAGGGAGCGGCGGTCCATCAAGGTAATATTTATTCCTTCGGATTGACGAATATTCGAGGCAAGCGCAAGATGACCGTTAACTATGATGATGACCGTCTTTAGTCGGCCTCCCAAGAAGAACTTTGTGGAGGTGACCGAGTTGACTGACATCACCTACATAAGCAACCTGGTGAGGCTGAGGCCAGGACACATGAACATTGTTCTTGTGCTCGCCGATGCCTCGAAGAACGTTCTGCTCAGCAAGTTTGCCAAAGAGGTCTACTCTTTCACGGGGTATGTTCAAACGGTCGTATTTCAGCTGTGGAAGTTGACTTGGGCCATGTATTGGTCGTGTCCTCATTTCTTTCTTTATTTCTCTTTCTGTCGAAGTCTCATTCGTAGGCCTAAGACCTGGTTGAAAGCTAAAAAAAAACATTCTACTTAGTCTGTGATGTTTATTGCTCATTCCATGTTTGCATTAGACATCCTACTGCAATACTGCTTAGTCACCGTTAAGCCTGCAACGTGTCTACGCATAGCTTACTGCTTGATGACACTGTCGAGCAAATGAAGCAAGATTGCTTAAAACCACGCGCAAACCAATTGGGTGCAAAGCCTCTATGATTCATCAAGCTTAATTTTGCCATATTGGGTCATTCTTTCACAACACTTAAAAGCATTTCAAGATTGCATCTGTTATACTTGCCACTGTACAGATGGTGCCGGTTGAGTCCGGATGGGAATGACTCATCGAGTTATGAACCTTTAGCTGATGCGATACTACTATACTGTTGATGCTCATTTTTTTCGTTTCGTTTGTTGAGTCAACCTCATTTGCAAGGGTGGGGAGATGAAGCGGAACATATTGTGTTTGTACAAGTGAGTTTGTAGAAACGGTGACTGGTGTCTTGCTATTTAACTGATCGTGAAATTGGATTTGTTGAAATGTTCCAGGAGCCTGACCCTGCATTTCTCCTTCCTGAATACGGACAAGCACAGCGAGTGGATGCGCACGCTGTTCGAAAGCGCGCAGGATGCCGCGCAGGTCTACTCGTGCGAGGACGACGAGGCAAACGCCAGCATGGACTACACCGGCTACGTGCTGGCACTCAACGGCCACAAAAAGTACTTCTGTCTGTTTAAGCCCGTCTACACCGGGGAAGACCCGGATAGCAAACCGTCAGAGGACGAAGCGGCGGTAGCGGCGTCGGTGAGGAGGTCGAGGGCGGCGTCGCGTGATGATCACCCTCCGCGCAAATCGGCGCGCTCACGCAGCACATCCACGCTCCAGATCCACCACAAGCTGGACCGCTTGGGCTTGTGGATGGAAAGGCTCATGGAAGGCACCTTGCCTCGTTACTACATCCCCGCCTGGCCAGGACTCCACAAGATCACCGCCAGTCAATAAACAGGGGGCGGGGGGGTCAGGTTAGAAGGAGTTGAAGAGTGCACGTTGAAAAGGCTGCTTGAATGTTGTTGGGTTTCGTCTTGCACTTTTGGAGTTACGAGCCGGGGGGTGTCCAAACTTTTTCTTCTATGGACCGCATGCAGAAAAATGAAAAGATCCGAAAACCATTTGACGTTGCACCTTAAAAAAAAATTTAAACATGCAAAAAACAACCAACTCTTGCAGGTAAAGAAGGGCAATATATAATACTCGGTGTGTATAAAAAGTCGACACAGCCCTGTTTAAATGCCATATTTAAAAAAAAAAAAAAAAACCAAAATATTTTTTTTTCATGATTTTTCCACCATTACTGTGACCTACAACCTGCAAAACTCAATTTGAGAAGAAAATATTTTCAAGGGGGAAGTGAAAATAAACAACGGGGATGGTGTTGGTTGCACAAGTGTGCACACCCTCTTCTAACTTGGATATGGATGTGTTCAGAATTAACCAGTTAGAACGATTTTGCTTGGTCTCATATTTTAAAGAAGAAAAACATGGCTTTTAGGGTGTGAAAACTTTTTAGATACTTTGGGGCCTGGTGATGAAGCAAAAAGTCAAGTTCTTCGTTCTCTTCTTGTCCTTGTAAATCAACTTTTCCAATTGAAATGAATGGAAATGCAATTAATCCATTCTAGTACCCTCAAAACATCACATTTTTTAAAGTGTCTTTTCCTGAAAAAAATGCAATGTAAAATGTTGCATTGCAAGACATTTAATTCGAAAAATAATAAAGCCAAAATACCTGCACAAAAACATAGAAAAGGCAATTTAGCCTCGTATACTCTCTCTCGATTTTTTTTAAATTCCGGATACAACAAACCTCCAATTGAAGCCCAATTTTGGTTTATCCGCAGCATTCGAATTACTTTTTCATAACTGATGGCAGGATTTTGTGAAGCCATCATGTGGCAGAGTGCCGAATGCCAACTGGTCTTTAACCGCGCGATGGCTTTTAATTTGAAAAACCCATCACTTGGGATATTGATATGTCAAGGTGCCACAATATATTTTTCGGGCTGCTGAAAAAACAGACACCGGGCCTGACATGGCTCCAGGGCCGTAGTTTGGACACCTCTGTTTGACAGGCATGCGATTTCATTCAGCCACATGCTGCTCCTGCTGCTACTTACTGCTGTTCTGGCCTTGAACAACACCATTGCGACCAGGCTGGCTCTTCAGTCTTGACCGGTTCTGTTCACTCATTCATCCTGGCACACTGAATATTTATGCATGTTTTGTCTTTCTGTTAAAAAGAAAAGGCTGGCTCTTCAGTCTTGACCGGTTCTGTTCACTAATTCATACTGGCACACTATGAATATTAATGCATGTTTTGTCTTTCTGTTAAAAAGAAGAAAAAGATTATTACTCTGTGTGCTGACTGACTCATGTAATACTGCGTACTACTGTTGTGTTGTGACCTTTGTATCGGATCTCAGCACAGTTTTTCCTTTGGGATAGAAAGACTGGTTTTATTTCATGGAGTGTCAAATTGTTTTGGATTTGGCTGTGTTAGTTACTGTAGCAACCAAAACCCACAAGCAGCTTCATGTAGCCTAATGAAATTTTGTAGTTACATCGTGCTTGATTGTTTTTTTTTTTTTTGGCACTGTGAATAAGATCAAGATTTAACCATGAAAAATATCTATGTCGTATATTTTCAAATTTTAGCGTATTGTATCGGTTTCATTAACTGTTGCACGTTAGAGTCAACAATGGTTGCTTCTGTATGTTCACCAGTGAAGTTATCTTTTTGTGAGGGGGTCGGGGGAATAAAATAAATTATTGTTTTTAAGTAGCGTGTTTTCAGTAGTCTGTTCCTCATCCATCCATCCATTTTCTACCACTTATCTGGGGTCGGGTCGCGGGGGCAGCAGCTTTAGCAGTGAAGCCCAGACATCCCTCTCCCCAGCCACTTCTTCTAGCTCTTCCCGGGATATCCCGAGGCGTTCCCAGGCCAGGTGGGTGACATAGGTTCTCCAGCGTGTCCTGGGTCCTGCCGGTGGGACGTGCCTGGAACACCTCACCAGGGAGGGGTTCAGGAAGCATTCTCATCAGATGCCCGAGCCACCTCATCTGGCTACTCTCAATGTGGAGGAGAAGCGGCTTGACACGGAGCCTCTCCCGGATGACCGAGCTTCTCACCTTATCCCTAAGGGAGATCCATGACACCCTGCGGAGAAAACTCATTTCGGCCGCTGGTATCTGTTCCTCATGATTTCCATATTGGCAGGGACATATTTGCTTAGTATCAATGTACTCATCCACCCATCGAGTCAAGAAAGACAAAAGATGAAAAACCTTCAAGAAAATGAAACCGTATGAAAATTCTAACATTTATTTGTGAATTCTGTGACAAAACACAATGGGGAGCTAGATGGCAAGCTACATTGGTCCAAAAACAAAACATACAAAAACACACTATAAAAGCCCTTTTGGGATGACCGTACATTTACTATTTCGTGCGAGGGTGTTTTTCATCCGCTTCGAAAGACGCATACACTATGTACAGAGGAAATGCTCAAGTGCGGTCAGTAAAGGGAGATAGCTACATATTTCCACAGTGACCTCCATCGACTGGAGATCAGCTGCTGACGTTCAGCTTTCCTCCAAAACAACAACATGATAATCTATTGAATCTACAACATCGTGGAATTGCTTTCCTCTTTTTCTTTCGTGTGGCTTTCATTGCATTCTCCTTTTTTTATGAGGCATTACTACTTAAAAAAAAAAGGTCAAGCATAGCTCATGTACAGGTAGCCAGTCTTTCGATATAAGCCAAAAATATTCGCTAATATGAAGGAACGGCGAAGGAGTTATTGTACATATTGCCACGTGATTTGATGAAGACAAAATGTTTAGGTAGTTTTTTTCAACAGCTGGCAAATATGTGACTTGTGTCATCAATGAAATGAAAAAAAATGATGACACTGGATTGAACAATGAGTCCGTTATTTTCACAATCACTTCCAAAACACTGCGAATGGTTAGAAATGGCTTGATGATGGAATGGAACAATGCGGCATATTGATGCCAACAGTTCATGTTTTTTATTTTGAATAAAGTAAAGAAAGAGAAGAAACATTTCGAATGCACTTTTTTTTTTTTTTTTTGCCAGTTTATGTTCCTGCCTTTTCGGGTAAAAACACTGCAATACGTGTGAAATAAGGCGAAATGTGCTTCCTAATATGCGATGCAACTGAAGCGCAAACAACAAACACATAAGATACTGTAAATATATAAAATATTCGCAACAATCGCACTTAAGAGTATTTTAAATCGACATAAGATTTTTTTTTTCTCAAGCAACGTTATTTGCTACGATAGAATGTGATATGTAACTTTCCGTTTAAGAATAATGGCCAATTACAAAAAGTGGATAAATAGTGTATATAATGGACCAGATAGTATACCAGCCCCCCACCTCCAAATAACCGTATATATAGATAATATATATTGAAAAAAAAAAGACAAAATAATTTATTTCCAGAGAAAACATTGGTATAAAATGTGTACTCGACATATCATTCTATTCTAATCCTGTAAACCATTTGTTTGTTGTCCCTCGACCTTGGTACATACAGTACTTGAGTGTAGCTTTTTTTTTGTGTGCATAAAAACAATCTTGGTCATTGAAATAAAAGGCCTGCTAGGTTTGGAGTCTGCAGCCAATTTGACAGGCACTTCAATTAGAAGATGATCTTCATCATGGAGATGATGCAATGGGATGCAGTATGTACAGCAAAGTATTTTGACAGTTTTTTTTTTTTGACGTCAATGAGCTGACCCGTATTGAAACGGAACACCGTATGAGAAATAAAATGACGGCAGTATGAATAAATAAGGGCCTCAACACGTTAACGTTTTCTCGAAATGTTTTTGACGCTAAGGCCTTTTCAGTGAAGTCGGACTGCAGTCATTTTTTACAGACAGTTAGCCGAATGCTCATTTTTGTATTTGAATTGGTATTGATTTTAAAACAAAAAGATGCAGGTTTAAGATTTCATTCTCAATCAGCAATTTAAGATAGATTTTTTTTTTTTTTAAAGCAAATTCGGTCATTCTCCCAGTGTCACAGTCCTCACTTTACATTTTTAATACGATTAGGAATACAAAATTTGAATAAAAATGAGTGGGGTTTTTTTTGGATGAGTGACCAAATTATTAAACACCTTTACAGCTAGGCATGCACTTGTTAATAGTAAAGGAGACAAATTATACTTCTCACCCCCACCCGAGCCACCACAATTTAAACCATTTCCCAGGTGTCTGTAATAAAATGTCTCTTAAAAATGCCAGGACACTTGGAAAAAAGAAGAACAGATCATTTAACATCCACTCTAGTTGAAATTAGTAGATTTTGGGGGCGGGTTCTGTCTCATGCAAATGAGCCCAAACTCCTCCTGCCGCTATATTGTTGGGCCAGTGCCGACTACAGCTTTCGTGACCGTGACAACTCGGGGTGGAGCTACAGACTTGCAGCGAGACGGGCGCTTACTACTCGCCAAGAGTGTGAAGAAAAAAAGCGAGCGCCCATTCGAAGATGGACTGAATTTTCACTCATGGAGGCAGCACTTCATCACCAAACCGAACCACCAAAGTGTAGTTCACTTGTCAATTTGTAATCGGCGCATGTGTCGTCGTGATTCAGCAATGTTGAGAACAACTTATTTACAGACACATGTTGGGAAATAGGCAGCAAACCCCAAATTGACGCGGTTGTTCAATTTCACACACAGAGAGCCACATATATGTTAAAACTCAATTAAAAAGTTCATTTTCCATAATGTGTCCCTTTTAATTTAATTACCAGCAAAAAGCTTTGCTCGGAGAAAAAAAAATGCAGCTGAGACTGTCTGACATCATGTGAAAAAAGATTTGCATTACAATTAACTTTTATCTACCGTGCCCCAAAACACGGCAGTGCTTATCTGAGTGCATTTTCCAATGAATGTCCCACAAAGATGCACAAAGCAACAACTGGCCGAACCAACAGCATTACCGTCATCTTCATGGCTCGAGTTTTGACATCAGTGAAGGAATAAAACAGGCACTTCACCTGTGGCCACATGACGCAAAACAAAACATCTCTGGCCGGTAACTGCTGATAGTTTTTTTTTTTCCCCTTACAATCTACAAACACCGAATTATTACATAACACAATGGTCCCATGTTTGGAATGAAAGGTCCCAGAATTCCGAGTATCGTTGAGGTCTTCAAATGGGAGGATGATTAAAAATGAGTCGCTGGAGCATAAAAAGTTCTTCTCTCTGTTTTTTGTTTTTTTTTTCCTGTCGACAAAGCAGCCAATGCTGGTGGGGGTGAGCGAGGACTACATTCTTTCGTTTTCAGTCCCTCGAGATTATTGTCATAGCTTAGTGGCGTAACATGATACGCAAAACTACTGTGGATGAGGGTTTCATTAGGTCCATAGTGGTATTTATCATAACGTCCTGCTGGTAGTATTGTGAGTATGAAACGGTATGATGGCCCAGCCTCCTGCCCTAAGAGCTACTGACACTGAGAAATGGGAACTGAATGTGTGTGTGTGTGTGTGTGTGTGTGTGTGTGTGTGTGTAACATGAAAATATGTGCTGAGCAGTGTGTGTTACGTTTGGCAGTGCACGTATGTGGCAGGTTAGGTGATAGGAGTGAATGTGTGGCAATGGGGAGCAGTGTTTGAGTGGAATCATGCCGTGTGCGTGTCCGTGTGTGCGCAGTTGAAGGAGTGATGTCACTCTGTCAAGGCGTCTCCCTTCTCCTCGATGGAGACCGAGGACTCGTGTGGGCGGTGTTTGCACTGTCCCGGTGAGGTGCGAGGGCCTCGAGAAGGTCGGGAGGGACAGTTGGACGGAACGATGCAGTCACAGGGTCCGTCCTGACACACAAAAACAACACCTATCACTCACTACCCAATGTATGGGAAGACTTCAGCATCGCGTCAAAGCAAAGCCCTCACCTCTGTCCCGGAGCCCGCGGAGCCAGTGCTGCCCATCCCGTCCTTCCCTCCTCCTCCTCCCATGATACTGACCATCTCGTCGCCGGTCGTTTGTCTCATGAACCGCTTGTTAACAATCCTGGTCACATTGTCAGTGCCTCCACACAGTCCGGCCAAGGCGCCGAGACCTCCCACGGCAGCTGGCAGACATTCTGGCTTGAGCTCATCCACGCAATTGAAGCCTCCTCCGACGAGAGAGTCTCTCGGCATTCTCTCTGCCGGCAGGATGACGCCTCCCTGGCTCCGCCCGCTGCACACATTCTGCAGGAACTCTTGGACGAGGCCCCCGAAGCGCTGAGTGTTTGGGTCAGCGGCACAGACTGAGGCGCAGGAGGGTTTCCCCGCGGCGTGAGGGTGTCGCGCTGGACTGGCACCTAAACACACAATTGATCTTTATGATGTGTACAGGTTACACTTAAAAGTTGTCTGAAAATGAATACAACTTATTTTACTTTGGCAATTTGTTTGCGGATGGGACTCTCTAGTCTTCTATTACTTAGTTCGATTCTTCTCAAATTACAATTTGGCAATTTGTTTGCGGATGGGACTCTCTAGTCTTCTGTTACTCTTAGTTCGATTCTTCTCAAATTACAATTGTTACCTCTGCCAAGAGTGGTTGCATTTAATTAATGTTTTACCTTTTAGATTTTAGATACCTTTTTAATTTCGTACGTAAATATCGCTCAGCCTTTGCGGCGATCTGCGCTTTTTGTCTATATAATTAGATCATTGATTGTTGCGTATCATCTGCAAAATGATATTTGTTGTTTGTAAGTAATGAATGCATGAGCCCTCACAATGGATCCCTGTGGAACACCAATTTCTTTTAGAGCAATTGATTATGCATGTCACTGAGATTCGAGTCAAAACGGCGCATTTGACCTCCGTCGCCCCTCCAGAGTGTCTCAGTGCTTCCCGAATGTTCCACCACACTGAAGAGGCTGGAAAGTCCGTCGGTGAGGCCGCTCAGCACGGGGCTGTCCCTGGTGGTGGTTGAGCGGGCCCAGGCTGACCCTCCACCCCCACTCATGGCTCTCTGCTGGAGGTTCCACAGGCTGCGCTCTCGAGACGACGGAGTCCCGTCCAGTCTGGAGGTGGAGCCTGAAAACCGGCAAAATGGATCATACTTTTTTTTAAAAAACAGTTGATCATCACGGGAGGCATGAGGACAGTCTACTACTCTGATCAAAAAGTGGAAATACCTGAGGACACGCGGCGCTGGAGCTTCGGGGATCCGAACTTGGGCGAGCAACAGGGTCTATCGATTCGGCTGTGAACTTTGTCCAGAGACGTTGATATCTGTCTCGTTCGGGCTGACGCTAACGGAGAAGTGGTTGTAGAGGAGGGCCGGGGCGACCAGGCTTTGGCGTGCAAACCGGCACCCCTGCTGCTGGTGAGGTTCTCAGTTTGAAGCCCGATGCTGACGCATTGTGCAGCCGTTTGCGTGGACCTACTCGACATCCCCACCGCCTGCAGAAGTAAGGCAAAGAGGAAGCGTACGAGACATTACACGAAGTAATGTAGTCTGATCTCGGGCTGCAACTAATGGAGAAGAATCGTGCAAAAAATGCACAAATAGAATTCTGATTCAGTTATTGGTTTGGTCCGTGACATCTCGGAAAATAGGCAAGAATGCTGACGGTTTTCCAGATTGAACACAAAGATTCTAATGTGATGTGAGTGTGAGATTAAAGCGGATCGGAAAAGGAATGAATGAATGAATGTTCTATAAAGAGCTTCTGTACAGCTGCAGCTGCTGTGGAAGCGCTACATAAATAAAGATGCACGTAATTAAAAATGCACGCCATTCGACCTGAGTTTGTTGCATTCTATTAGTTCACCACTAGGTGGCAAGTGCATTTTTACACACTGTCCCCTTTTTCAAACCTTACAAAAATTTAAAGCACATAAATCGGGTAAATATTAGTTGACTTACATGTTCCTTGCCAGATTTCCTCTCCAGAGATGAGGAGCGAATGGCTTGGCGCACACAGTTGGTCATCTCTTTCATGTCATCACTCAAGTTTGCTGCAATCTCACCCATTTCCAAGTTGCGGAACGCCGATGAGGTCAACCCGTCGGCCACGCCGTTAGTCGAGCCGTTGTTGACCGCAGCGCTCCTGCTCTCCAGCAGCTCTCGATGCTGCTCGGATAGCGAGCTCAGCCATTGCTCATAAGATGACGAAAAGCAGGACGAGGGCTGCGGCGGCTCAGCCGGACCAGCCTCAGCGACAGTCAGCCCGAGGGCAGAGCCCCCGTCGGGGTTCCCGTTGGCCTCCCGTTTACTTCGTTGGTGTTCCATGCGTCGGACGGCAGGCGGGCTGTAGTACATCCTGATTCCGGTGCTTTCTGGAGCTGTGTGGCTCCTCTGGATGGACTCCAGATCCAGCTGTGATCCCACTAAGTTGCTGCAGGAGACACTGGCGCTGGGACCGTCCCAGGTTTTACAGGTTTCCCCGGCATCTGAAGTCTGAAAAGATCCATATTGGGGAAAGTCATTAGCAGAAACCTCCGTAGTTGCATCATTCAAGTCAAACTGCTCAAAAGTGCTCTCTTGCTGGTCTACTTTACATCAAGTGACCGCTTAATTTGGTTTGCATATGTCAAATGCTGCCGACAGGACCTTTTTGGGTTCATGTGACAGTTTAATTTAAAAAACGGTTCCCAAAAAAGTTTTATTCACATCTGATGAAACCTCCAAAAGTCAACCTCACCCGTTTTGTGTTCACTTTAGACAGGTTAAACGCAACTGAGGTTGCTTTCACATTAGCGCCTTTTACTTCATTTTGTTTACGAACCCCATCAAGTGACTTGGACCAGAGAAAGCCACCTACAGATGTGAAAGCACCATGAAACCGAATCCTCCGGGGATCTCAGGTTGATTTACTATTCACATTTACACAAAAACATTTCTATTATTAACCTCATCAGTCAGACAGGTCCAATTCTTCTTGTTGGAGTCACTCAGCGGTGTCAAAGGAGGGGGGGCTGCAAAGTGCACCAAACCCCTTAGATCAGCTGTTGGCCGGAAGTCTGGATCATCGAGTTGTGGTATGGATTTGGTCCTTTACATAAAAACAGATTGTCATTCAAATGTGCCGCTCAATAACATTCCCTATTGTATTGACACTGCCGTGCGTTCACCTTGGTGATCCTGTTCCAGTGGTGACAAGAGTGTCTGCAGAGGACTCAGAGCCTGAAGACTGAAAAGACAGAGCCTTCAATATATATATATATTTTTTTTAACCTCTTTGTGATATTCAAACGCTGTGATGGCCTGGCAACCAGTTGGACATGATCGGCGAAATCCTTTGCTGTCAAGCCGTAATGTTTTCAGTCACACTCTTTTGTTCTTATGGAGTGAGCCCAAATTTGCATCAAGGACAGCAGAATCTATCTTTCTTCGTATCAAACTGACGTGTGGCCAGTCATTTCAATTTATGAGTCAATCAGGGTGTGGCTTTGATATGACTGAAACTCGAGTATTGCACATTACGGTAGATTACATTTTCACAGTGTTACCTAGCCAGTACTTCGAGTTACATCTATGGGACTTTGGTTAGCCTTGAATAGAAAAGGGCCTTTCTCAAACCGTTCCCATGAAACGGATTCACACAGTTTTTGGCATTAATTAATTGACTCATTTTTACCAACTTTGACCCCTAATCTAATTGCACTTCTCATTTAGGGTCACACCTCGTATGCATAATTGGATACAGTATCAATAAAACAACACTGTCGAAAATTCCTGTCTCATGAAAGCTGAAAAAAGTGATGAGTCAATGCAGGGCGTATTAAGGAGTCGAAGGACTCTCCAATAGTGTCTTTTTCTGAATAAAAAAAAAAAATATATATATAAAAAAAAAAAAAAACATCAAAGATAGCGGGGAAATGAGGTGAACCGTGACAGAAACACATCTGATGAAAGGACTGGCAAGGAAACTCTTATCACTGATGATCATCCACTTCTATCATCGCAGGGCACACACTCTTATCTTGGACTTTTTCATCTATACGCACGCACGCACACACACACACAGACTAATGCACACATACCTTGGTCTCTCTTAGCCTCTGCTCCCACTGTGCTCTCTCCTGGCTGAACCGCTCTAACAGCTCCAGCTTTTCCCTGCCCCAGTTCCTCTCTCCGATCTGAAGCTGTCATGGCAGAAAAAAAAAAAAAGGAAAGAAGGAAAAAAGAGGATCATTGAGCAACATGCTGTCTAAGTAGCCTAATAATAGCATCAGTGTTCAATCTAAGCACCATCCAAAGGCATCTACCTGTTTGGTCAAGTCCATCACGGCTGCGTAGGACTCGGCCAGAAGGTGCTGGTGCTCCTCACGCTCCCTCTTGAGTGCCACCTTCAGGTCAGGCGGGTCCATTGCGTCAGCTGAGGACAGAGAGGCCGCTTTGGCTGCTTTGGTCTCAAGCTGAGGGAAAAAAAAAAATCGCAGAATTTTAAAGATGTAGTAATCCATCCATTTTCTTGGAGCGAGACACACTGGAGGCACACACACTGGACAGTTTGCCAGCAAATCACAGGGAAACATGTAGACTAGTGGTCACCAACCTTTTTGAAACTAAGAGCTCCTTCTTGGCTACTGATTAATGCGGAGGGTTACCAGTTTGCCCCAATGCACTTTTGAAATAAATTTGCTCAAGCTACGTTCATATGTTACAATTAATAATGACTGATATTCATTTCGGAGAAGACACTGATCACATTAGCGATTTCTCACAATAAAGACTTTGATTTTCTTTTCAAGGATTTGCTCTTAAAAAAAAAACAAAACAGGGTTCAAGGACCCATTCGGTGCTCTCATTATTATACAGCGCACCATTAAGAACAGCACTTTCCCTTGCCCACCTGAGTGATGAGGCTTTTAAGTTCGGTCCTTTCCACTTCCCACGATGCCTTGGCCTTTGCAAACTGCTGGGTGAGTTCCTGGGAGCCTTGCCGCTCCTGCCGCAGCTCGCCACTCAGGTCCTGCAGCGCGACCTTGAGGTCCGCCAGAGTGCTGCTCACGGCATTCAACTAAAAGAGCGCAAAACGCATCCACGTTGAGAGTGTGTTGGAAATAGCCAAGCGTGCGTTTAAGCATACGTGCCGCCGACCTTGATAGCCGGGCCAAGTGTTTGTTCGTCTCCATCGGCCTTTTTTCCGCTTAAGTGCACGGGGCTTGTCAGGTTATCCGCCTCCAATAAAAGGTAGAGGTCCTTTAGGTTGTTCATCTAGATAACCAAACATAGAGAAAGATTGTGAAACTCAGCCTCCAATGACATTAAATGTACTGTATTTTCCGCACAATAAGGCGCACCTAAAAGCATTCAATTTTCTCAAAAGCCGACATTGCGCCTTATAATCCGATGGGTCTTATATATGGATCAATATTCTGATTTCTTGGACGCATTATTTTAAATGTTCTGTAAAGCGCTTTATAACAGCTGCAGCGGTTGTGAAAGCTTTATCTAAATAAAGCTGTATTGTATTGTATTCCCTTTAGTGTATCTCCATCTAGTGGATGCGTAACGCAACCGCAGCCACTATTGTAGCTTCTAATTTATGCGCCTTATAATAAATAGGCCATTCATTGAAGATGTGCCTTATAATCTGAGGCGTCTTATAGTGCGGAAAATACGGTAGTCTTTATTTGAGGATTCAGATTTATTTTGCAGCACGTGACAGAGGGCTGAGACTAAACAGAGACCACAAAACCTTTTTTCTGCCAATTAGGAAATGATTTCCCTTAACTGTTTCACCTGAAGTACGACGGTGTCATTCTTCAGGACTTTTAGCTGATACTCCATGTTACAAATTCACACTTGAAAAACGTCCTCTGAAGTCTACTGTGCGGTTTTTTTCTTCTTTTTAATCTAATATCCATGGAGCAACGATGCTGTCATTGCATGACTGGAGAAGTTTGTACCTCCAGGATGTCTTTCCACTCCATGTCCTTCTTGCAGTCCAGCCTCCAGTGTTTGAGGAAGCAGCGGAGCTTGAGGCTGAGCAGCAGCAACGCTTCTTTGAGGTGCCGAGACTCCTGTACCAGCAGCGTCCTCTCTTGGCCCCATAACTTGTACTGGAGCCGAGCCTGGAGGCCTAAACTCTGCAACTGGAAGTCCCGGCGGAGCAGAGCCTTCTGCTGCTCCTCGTGGAGCTGAGGGATTGACAAAGAGTTTGAAAGCTATGTGGACAGTTTTTTTTTCCTCATTTAATGTTGATGCATATTAGGATTATTTGACCTTGGTGGAGGTCTGAGTGCCATTTTGTTTTTTCAGGAAATAATATGCTGACCTGTGAGAGTTTCAGTTTCATTTCTCTCTGAATCTCCGTCTCCTTCTCCGACGCCGCTTGAGTGGAACCAAGTACCTCGCACGGCTTGGCGCGGCAATCACCGAACTGGACAGGTTTGGGCAAGAAGCGAGTTTGGAGATGGTGGGCAGAAAGATGAAAGATGTGTGATGAGAGCGGACAAGAATGCAAACAGGGTGGCGGCAAAGCGATGAAGGGAAGGGAAGGAAGCAACAGGAGAGTGTGAGGAAGACATAACGAACCCTTTAACTCATTCACTCCCAAAGACGTTTTTAAACGTCTTTTCAGACTTGGTCCAGAATTGGCTGGTCCTCAATGAGTTAAAAGGGACGTGCTGCTCGTGATTGCGCATAATTGATTCCTAACAACCACGAAGCGCTGACACATGAATAGCACGTCTACTCCGCAGTGTTGGGGTTGGGGGTTCGAATCCGTGTGGAATTTGGAAGTTCTCCCAGTACTTCCACAGACGTTTTTTTTCTGGGTTATCAATCTTTCTTCAATGTTCCAAAAACCTGAATGTTATCTTAACTGAAGCCTCTAAATTGTGCTTAGGTGTGCATGTGACTGTGAATATTGTAGTTGTACCCTGCCATTGGCTGGGGATCAGAAAAGAAAGAAAACCTCTTAGAAAAGAAAGAATCTGCTAGAACCTGTGGTGTACTTGCTACCAATGCCCCTTGCTACATCCAGTTGTGGTGTATTGTGTCTAAGAGTAATTTATACATAAATTGCTATCAAAAGCCCCTTTCACACTGCCCATCAAAGTTGGCTTTTTCCCAGCTTGCTGTCCTGTGTGAAAGCAGGGCTGTGCTGTGACACGAAAACAAAAAAAAAATGTCTGTGCGAGTCATTATTTGTCAAAGGAGCATCTTGTCTTTCTGCAGTTCTCTCTGATGTGATGAGCTGAATTAAAGGCACAGAAAAAAAATGTTCAATATATTTTAGAATGGCAAATAAAATATTGGATGGGCTTCACTGGGGTTACACGGATATCTGTTGTGTAGCCCCCCCTGAGGCCCGGCGTAGCACCATCCCTGCTGTGCGTAGCACAGAACTTAGGCTGTTTGGGAAAATAGAGCCCTATCTCTGCTAGCCGGCCTGGGAACTGCCTCTGGGCTTGCTGGAAATAGTTGAGCACTATTTCACTCAGGGTGAACGTCAGCTCAGCGCTACTCTTTTGCATCCGGTGTGACAATTTCGCACAAAGGCAGTATGACTAAGCGCTAAAAGACCAAAACAACAAGCGTCCTGTGCTAAATCATACTTTTTGCGTGACTTACCAGTGCATCTTGTGTCTCCTCTTTATCCTCCTCTGTCTGCGCAATGTGCTTTTTTCTTTTCTTGTCGTCACCGTGACCGTTCTCCTCTGTTTCCCCTTTGAACCCCGGCTGCAACCGGTCCCTACAATCAGGCTGCCGCATTCATGCGTGGGCAAGTCAATGAAGAAAGAAATGAAAAACAAACATACGAACGAAGAAATCATAGAGAACAGAAGGCGGAAATGCAAGCCAAAAAAAAAAGAGAAAGAAAAAAAATAAAAGAAGCCAATGGAACAAATGCGAGATAAATTATATGTACTCAACAAACGCATACAAAAACAACAATTGGTGGCTTTCACATGACAAAAAAAAGGAGGTAGAGGAAAAAGAGCTTGGTCAGAGAAGAGAAGGAGAGAGTGGAGAAAAAAAAGAAAAGCAAAACAGAGGAAATAATGAAAGGCTGAGGGGAAGGACACAGACACAGAAGAGTACACAAGAGGGCAGAAGAGGGGAAAAAAGGGGAGAGGAAGGACAGCGAGAGAAAGGGTACGGGTGAAAGGTCAAAGCGAGGGACACAACACCAAGCGTTGGAAAAGAGATGTGAGGTGTGATAAAGATGAGGGGGCGGGGCGTGAAAATGGCAGCCGGTAGGGGTGGTGTGGGGTGGGGGTATTAAAAAGGGGGCAACAGGGAGTGAAAGACCAAGCGTTACGGTGCCCATGCAGAGAAAAGGACAACAGGAAGAGGGGAGAAAAGGAAGAAAGAAGGGGGGGAGGGGTGTTTGGACTCAGAATTGGCCTCGAATGGAGTCGAAAAATGATTTCACTTGGTTGGAAAATTATCCATGAACAACACATTACTATATTACTGAAATAGAAATTTCATTGAAGGCAAATTGCATTTTTTCCCCCACCAAGGTGCTGTATTTTGAAAAAGCCTGAAAATAGGTACATAATAAATATAGAAACAAAATAAGTGTACCAGAATTGGATAGTTCTTTATTGTTTTGACGTCAGAGAGAAAAAAAAAACATTGTTCTGTACAAGCTCATATCATGATGGTTTCTTTTTTTTTTTTTTGGTTGTTTTGGTTTTTTTTTTTAGGTGTTTGGTGATTACTCAATTTGGATGTAATTACTATCATAGTCACCTGAATGCATCAATTGATACATTTTACGATGATGATAATTAGCATCTTGCTGGCATCGGGCTGAAACCTCCAAATTCTGTGATTTTTTCCTCTATTTTTTTCCCCCCGCAAATAAATACTATTAGTCAATCCTCATGTGGGGCCATTTTGATCAATCTATGGTTGCTTAAAATGGCTTGCTCTCTTTGACTCCACAGTCATGCTGTTTTTGGAGATTTTGGAGACGCGAGGATTTCGCCCAACGCCAGCAATATGCAGCAATCACGAAGAAAGAGTTCATTAGATTCAAAATGAAACAATAATAAATAGAGAAAAAAAATCTACAAATAAAACTATTTCAACTTTGATGTATTTTAATGTTGCACTTAACAGGCACAGTTTGATTTCACAATCGGATGCTTTAAAATGTAAAATAGAGTCAGTTTTGCTCTGTTACTGGTAAGTGCCACATATAGTGCACAAGTAGATTTTAAATGGATCTGAAACAGCATGCAGAGTACAATATCCATGAACCCATGACTAAATGACTATAATTACAGTCGAATAAAATCGCCAAGTCCCGATTCAGACTATGCAAATAAACATGAAAGCAATTTCATGCAACAACAACCAGGCTCCATTTGAGGCCCACGGCAGTGTCTCAAAATTGGGTTAGGAGGTGGATCCAACTGCATGCGGAGGCCACAGAGGGAAGCTTACATGAGCAGTTCAATTCTGACTCTTTCTAACACGTAATATTGACAAATCTTTTTTAGGACAGTGGCAAATCCTAACAAAAATGTTTTTATGAGAATGAGTCAGATTTGAACATGCATTGTAAATCCCGTGCAAGAACGATGGGATTGGGAAGGGTAAAACCGGCCCAGAAAGTAGAATTTGCAGAATGCAGGAAAGAGAAAATAACTGAAACAAAAAAGCTTCTTAAAAAAAAAAAAACAACAACAACAAAAAAAGAAACAGACTGAAAAGGAATGATGACAAGGAGTGAACGTCATGTGTTTTACCTTCTCTTCTGCAGTCTTGAGTGCATCACGTTGGTCTTCGGCGCAGGACAATACATTGACTGATGAGGTCAAGGAAGACTGACCCTCACCAAGTGAGGATTTCCCCAGGCTGTCAACGTGCTCCACGAAGACCTGCAGCTGGCCGTGAAGGGCCTGGAGCCTGCTGGTCAGAGCGCCAACCAGCGGCCTGTCAGCCAAGTCGGAAAGCTCGGTGATCTATTGGGAACACAGATGCGAAATGACACGATGTTACGCAAGTCAAGTCGAATATGTCAGTTCAGAATCTGCAAGGCCGGTCGTGTGGGTTCTGGAGGGGCAGGTGGGGGTGAGGGGGGGTGTATAATTCATCCAGCTGCTTTGTGGAAAATGTTCACCTTTCTTATTTATTTATTTATTGATTTATTTATTTTTACCGAGTGCTGTTCATTAGACCGACTTATACAGATAACTCTGCAAAGCTGAAAATTTTGCTATTCAAAAGACATATTTCCATAAAATGTTTCAGGTTCGGTTTTGAATGGCTTTAGGTTTCATTGTGGGCGTGGTCAATTTGATGGTGGCAGTTCATGGTGACATCATAACTGTGCGACACCCCAAGCTATAAGTATACAAAGTCCAACAATGATGAACACGTAGCATTTTGTATCATTTATTTGACTCAAAGACAAACTAGGTTGTCATTTGAGTACTTTTCATTTAAACCTTTCATGCAACCTGTTACCTGATAACATGATAAGCTGTCCACTGTAGTAACCGTTGTCCCTGACTTTGCATTTTTAGCTCCACCCCAAAGGCAGAGCGCAAAAGTGATATGGAAAGAATTAGTGATTTTGGTATCCCTGTAAATGTACAAATGTAACTATGGTTTTGTGTTGTTTTTTTTTTTTTTTTGGTAGATGCCTTTAAAGCCAACAACAAAAAAAATAAAATAAAATAAATAAAAATAAAGCCACTGACCTGGCAGGGAGGCTGCACTTTCTCCAGCTCACACGATTCTGCCGCCTCGTTGCTGCAAACGCTGTGATAAATGGACGGCGAGGAAGGGAGGCAGTTCGACTCCGGGGCAGTGAGGAGCTGTATCGCTGTGGAAATCAGGCGAGCCTGGTCCCTCATGGCGAGCAAAGCGTCACGGTCCTTGAGCCCGAGGAGGCCACACGGTGAAGCTTTTGGCCCGGCAGTTTTGTCCATCTTGTTGTTTTGTTCGGTGCTCTCCAGTAAATCGTTCTCCACCCCTAATGGCTCTTTGCGATGTGGCGAACTGATGGAAAAAGAAATAGAGGCTCTTTCTGAGAATTACATTTATGGCACAGTGGCACTCGAACCTCAGTGTGTTGTTTTTTTTCTTTAGCTTTTTTACACGGGGGACAAGTGAGCAATAAAGGGCAACCAAAAATGATGAGCAAGTACTGCCAAAGTGCACGTCACTTTGACGCTACCTGTTAGGGAGACACTCGGCTGAATCTCCGGCCTCTTGGTCCGTCTCCAGAGCCACTCGTAAAGATGAGGAGGAGGATGGAGGCTGGTAGGAAGCAAGGTCACACCGCTGCAAGTTGGACAAGAGCACTCGGTTCTCGTACTGCAGCTTTTTCACTTTCCCGCCGAGCTCTCCGATCTGAAGCCGTGCTACTCGAAGCTCTTCCTCCTGGGGGGACACATCTGGGCTGATGAGCACAGCTCCCTCCTGCACGGAGTGTGGCGACCCATCGTGAAGCAGCCTTTCCGACAGCGACGTCCCAGAGCCGGAAGTGAGGGGCGGCGGTGGCGGCGGAAGCTCAGATTTATAGCGGTTGATTTCATTCATCAGGAGCTTGTTCTGCTCTTCCATCTCGAGCAGGGACCTCCTCAGAAGCTCCGCCTCCTCCTCCACAAACTGGAGGTGTCTCTGAAGCTCCATGACGTTTTCAGATGAAGCGCTTACCCCGGCGACTGGCCCTGTCCCCGGACCACCTCCAACACCGTTAAGTTCTTGAGGCCCATCTAAAGAGGAGCAGGAGTGAAGTTAACGCAACACTGGGGGGGCCAAAGTTAGTTAAAAAGTCGAAGTTAAAAAATGGACGGAAGCAGATACAATTCATTCATGTTCTTGCTCTGATATAAACATCGACGACCACAATGTATTCTGGTGATAAGAGCATACAATACCTTTTTGTTTCACATTCACATGTATAGCATTATTATCGTATCATATTTATTGAACATATGATTCATGTTGGCGGCCCGGTGGTCCAGTGGTTAGCGTGTTGACCTCACAGTGCAAAGGTACCAGGTTCAATTCCAGCTCCGGCCTCCCTGTGTGGAGTTTGCATGTTCTCCCCCGGCCTGCGTGGGTTTTCTCCGGGTACTCCGGTTTCCTCCCACATTCCAAAAACATGCATGGTAGGCTGATGGAACACTCTAAATTGTCCCTAGGTGTGAGTGTGAGCGCAGATTGTTAGTCTCTGTGTGCCCTGCGATTAGCTGGCAACCGGTTCAGGGTGTCCCCCGCCTACTGTTCGAAGACAGCTGGGATCGGCCCACCGCGACCCTTGTGAGGATAAAGCGGACCGGAAAATGGATGGATGGATTATTCATGTTCTTTTATTCAATCCAATGTTGATAGAATTGCTAGTAGCCCTTCTTAGTAGCGAATATAAAGACAGGCGGAACATTTTTTTGTTCCAATTTTGCAGAATATTTCTCTTAATATAGCATCTATTTATTCATTACAGTTTGACATTAAATATAGTATTTATTACTCTCCTCTAATCTCCGCATGACAAAAGTATGCAGCAGTGAGCCAAGAAATGTTTTACAAAGACAATATAGGAGTGTTGGTGATTGTGCCTGTGCCTTTTGTTTGGGCTCTGAACAATGGATTTAGGGATTACGTGTCATTTTCAAAAATAATCGTTGCCTTCATTTTAGAAACTGAAATTTAAGAGCATATCAATAAAATGACAAACATAAAGTGGGACAAAGTGCTACCTTGCGGCCCTTTCATGTCATCCATCTCAGCTCGGAGGCCTCTGTTCTCTACCTCCAGCTCCACAATTCGGCGACTCAACAGGTTGGCCTCCTCTTCCACGAGCTTCAGGTGAACTTTGACTTCTGCCTCGCGGGTGTGGGGGGAGTCGGCAACCTGACCGGAGTCAAATAAAACAAACTCATCAATTGACCTCTTAAAAACATATCCTGTTGATAAAAAAGGGAAGTTAATCGATGGTAGCACTTCACTGACCCAGGTGAGCATACAGAGATATGGAAAGGAAACTGTCAATCAGAAGATCGACAATGAATACCTCCTCAACAGTGATGGAGGCGTCAACGTCCCCGTAAAGGGACCTGTATTTGGCCAGCTCCTCCTTCATGGCCTCGCTGTCCTTCACCAATTTGGTCAGCTTTTTGCACATCAGGGCCGATTCCTCTTTGGCGAAGTGGAGCTGACACTTCAGGTCTGAGCTGTCCTCCTGTTAGTGATGGAAGAAAAGACAAGCGCAACATAGTGAGCACTCAAATCCCGCTGGCACAGCTGCGTGCTGCAGCTTTTTCTTTATCGACCAAAACACTTGGAACGATTCCTGTACCAATTCTTTAGAAAGTTTGAAGTGACTGCCCTAAATCACTGAGAGAGCTAAAATCACATTCTTTTCACAAACCACAATGACGTGATTTGAAGGTCATTTACAGGACCTCATGGCTTTGTAGCTGGAATATATTTATTTGGCAGTTCGGAGAACTTTTTCTGCTGTCCCCGAATATGTTTTTTATGGCAGGTTATGGCACAGAAGAAAGAGAATGGGAGGGGCCTCAGTCGAGCAACAGTGAGCAATCCTAATCCACACTAAATCAGACATCTCCAACTTATGTATGGAATGAATCATGAGATAAGACAAGTAGTTCTGAGTTATATTCAGTTCGTTTTTTTTAAATACCAGTTTGCTAACATCTGTTTTGTTCCCATTCCTGTTCGGGTAGAACACACCAGGTTTTATGACCCAAGGACCGTGATTTGGACAGTCCTATTCCAAATACAGTGATCCCTCGCTATTTCGCGGTTCGTTTATCGCGGCTTCAGTGCATCGCGGATTTTTTCAAACATCTAAAAAAATAAAAAATAAAATAAAAATTCATATACATGGAGTACAGTACTGTACATGTTGCTCTATGTGACTTGCTGTTGTTTTGCAGACTTTTTGCGGACTTACCTGTATATGTTTATTGGTCGCTACTTCGCGGATTTTCGTTTATCGCGGGATGTTTTGGTCCCCATTAACCGCAATAAACGAGGGATGACTGTATAACTGACATCAAAAAGTCAACCAAATGGAACTTTGAAGCACCAGCGTCATGCAGAGAAACATTTTATTACGACTTGCCACTGACCCGAAGTGACCCCCCCCCCCAACCACACCTCCCAACCAACTCAGTGGGTCTATTTGCTTTACAGCCTGTGAGGCATTTCCAAACACATAAAGTGAGATGAGGGGCAGCACATTCACGACCATTTATGGTACGTGCTTTGGGACAGGCTTTATCCCTGCAATGCAAACAATGTAAAAGAATGAGTTGGCCAAAATGTAGATAAACGCCTACACAGACAAGATAAGAGGCGGGAAATTGGCAGAGATTAAGTCGGCACAATAAAAGAAGAGAAGAGATGTTGATTTATTTGCTTACACTGGTATTTATTTGTCTAGGCAGTGTGGGACACTTAGTACAAAAACGTCCACAATTGTGCAGACAGAACTCAACGGTTAATCCTCAAGTGATATTTTCTTGACCTCTTGCCGACGTTCATCTTGTTTCGCTGGATTCTTGTTTGGTAAGTATTTTGGTCCTCAAGTCATTTTGGACTACTTTAAGTTTCGTGTGATTTGGATTTTTGCCATTTCGTTTTGAGGACTTTTGGTCCTCGTCCTCAAATTGATGGTGCAGTTTCTGTTCCTAGCTGGTTTTCCTGTCTTGTTGTTGCCAGCGATTTCTGCTGATACTTTTTTCTGTAAAGAAATGTTTTTTGGAGCGCAGTTTATCTGAATCTGCATTTTTGGGATCCACACCCGACATCTGGCTGGATGACAATCTAGATTTGAAATATCATGTCAATGCATTAAAGAAAAAGGAATTCCAGTTCACCGTTGGTTTCTAAGATCGTTTTCGTTTTTTCCCGTAAATGGCTGGTCTCGTTCTGTCACAAATGGATTCTGATGACACAGTTGATCGATTTCCTTGTTCCTCTGAGCTAGCGAAACTCGACCCGCTCTCTCATGCAGCTCTGAGATTTATTACAAACTCAGCATATAGAACACATCACTGTAATCACTTCCTCCTTAGTTGGTTGAGCATCGCTGGTTAAAATAAAGGTTTTGAATGATTGACAGCCATTCCACGCCTTCTCGGTTCATGCCAATAAATCAGCCTGTCTTCCCGCGCCATTTATTTTATTGAGTGTTCAAACACCGTTGCACGTGTCTTAATGTGTTTGTTTACCTGCGGGGGGAGCTTCTTGTCTGGTTTGTTGTTGGGTCGCGCTGCTCTTTTCTTCTGGGAGTTCTGAAACACCAAAGACCCACACTTGTGAGAGTGGCAAAATGATATTCAGACTTTGTTATGTGTTTGCAAAAGTAATTCATGCGTGAACTATTAAATGAATACAATACTGCTCCACTCCAGTCCATTAGGTGGTGGTAATGCACAACACAAAACAGGGTGCTTTTGTTCCGGCAGCCCTATTTGGTCGACTGTCCCACTTGACCCCAATCCATGCAGACTCTAATCAACCAATTAAACTGCATAACTGATCAAACCGAATATTTTACTTGTAAATAAATCACAAATAGTGATTTTGATTTCACTGACAAATACAGTCAAGTCCGCGCACACAGGGCCGACCTTTAGTTCTTCAGGGCGTTATTGCTATGCATATAATCATGGCCATGCTGGTGTTTATCACCGGGGCAACACTGTTAGGAGCAATAACATGACACAATACAGGCAGGAGGACCCGCTGCTGTATCGCAGTTGTCTCCCTCTGGATCACTGCTTCAACACAGTTTGAAGTCGAGAGAGGAGAGGAGATTAATAACCCTTTCACGCACCCTGTAACCTGATAACATGATAAGCCGTCTACTGGAGCAACCGCTGTCTCTAACGGGTTAAAAAGAACAACAACAAAAATGAATATCAAAGCGAGATGATGAAATCCTGCAAAAAGCTGTGCTCACACCGCTAATGAACTAGTTTTCTCACAGGGACACCAGCCTGCGCTCATCCAAGTGTCTGCTCAGCATATTACACACTCATAAATCATCATCTTGTATTCACTTCAGCACACACACACACACACACACACACACACACGCACA